ATGTGTAGATCTGACAAATAGTTTTTGAGCTATTCTTAATAATGCGTATTTAGTTGACTTCGAGTATATTGACGATGCTCTAATTTTATTTATATTGAAGTCGGTTGTACAAAATTTTTAACTTTACCGCTTGTTAATATACAAGTATAATATTTTATAATTACTAATCAATGACTTTGGTAATTCCCGTTACCGTTGCAGCCCATTAATCTAATAAAAAAAATAAAAAGTCCAATGCTCAATATAGACCTCCCCATATTTTCCATAGTTTGCACGCTTGTGTCTACTATTCATTCAGATTTCATCAGTCGCTAGACGTGACGCTCGAGTTAAATATGCAATTTTCACAACTTGAATTGATACTGTTTTCCCAATTACATTTTGGTATTTACTATCCAAATACTTAGGATGAATCACGTAAACTACAAGAAATTTGCGCACACATTTTAGCAATTTTTCATCGTTCATTTTGATATTGGGCTGCTCACATCTTAAAGATTTGTCGTCACTGCCCTGCGGGCGCCTGGCGTACACGTTCATGTTAAAACGTGTTGGGGCCGGGCTGAGCCGGAACCGGGAAATAATACCCACCGACATCTTGACGCCGTGCCCCGTTCGGGTCCGGGCGGCGCACGGCCGGGCCACGGTCAAGCATGAATCACTTCATACAAAAAGTATGCTTAGATGTTTGGCCGTGTCCCAGCCGGGTCTCGACCGAGGCCTGGGCCGATCGCGACACGGTGTAACGTGAATCATCCTTTAAAAGGCGATTTTATAATTAAAAATAAATGTTTATTCATTACCAATAAAGTTCTATGTCTTTTCCTAAATTTATTTTATATACCTAACTTATATGAATAAACACGTCATCTACCTACAGCGATTGAGCGAGATATATTTAATGTCTCCCTGCAGGTTCGACTGTCCCCCGATAATTTATTTTAGATCTACATAATTGGGTAAGTGTAAGTGTTCACACACTTACCCAACTATTTACATGAACTTTCGCATTCACCGGACACTTCACTTTAAACGGGCTCAGTATATGTATACATAGGTAAATATGCACAGGTGACACACGTAAGTAGAGAAAATTACAATATTTGTTCCCAATAGCTTCAAATATAAACAGTTCATACGAACACTTGTTTACAAGTAAAAGCAAGTAAACCTTTAATTAACGGTTTTTATTATTCTGAATTCGTGGTCACAGTAGCTGACGCCTTGCCTCATAAAATTTTACAACCACTTTGAGATCCTATATATATTTGAGACGGCAACTTTGCCATCTTTCTCTTTACGACACAGGTTTAAAATATACGACCTCAAAACGTAGAACTGCTGAGCAAAATTTTTGTTTCGCTCTTTTATAAAGGTGAAATACCTGGCAGTAGATCCTCTTCCCAAGCATTAAGCTTTCAAAAGTTAGGACTAAGTGCTAAAAAGTTAAATCCCATAAGTTTAGAGTAAAAATGTTACAAGACGGTAATGTTTCTTTATTTAATATGGTATTTGAGACGGAATATTTTTTGTTTGCTCTTGTTTTCGTTAATAACTCCCTACAAAACATTTACCGGTTCAGCCGTTTGAAGATCACCAGATCTTTTATTTCGGGGGTTTTTAATTTTTTATTTAAGTTATTTTATTAAATATTACCAGTTAAACATGTTTTTCTTCTTTTCCCACCTTATCACTTTTCCCAATGCAAATAATATTTACCTAATATAATCGCCACTCTTGTCACTCATTAAACATAGTACATATGCAATAATAAAATGAATACGTAATATTTATTGCCTACTCTTGGTTCATCATCATCATCATTACCTACTCTACTACATCAAAGTCCATTGCTCCCCCTATGACCTCATGGGAGACATTTGCTGTCACGATTGGCAGGCATGTTGGTAACCACAGTTTTGTCATTATTTTTTTGAGTTATTATCAGAAACATGTTGATTAGACGTTTATTTCCCCTCTATCACCTCTTACGAAAACGGATCGATACGGATCGATGTGGATTAGTGGATACTTACGTCGCCACAGCAACGATGCTCGGTGCTCGATGCTCTTGGTGAAAAATATGTAATTGGCTATTCAAGTGTAATGTCGCGTTAAAATTACACAAAGATTCACATGTGGTTTCTTTTACTGTGAGTACTTGTGATCAAAAAATTTAACTTTATTCCGGGCTCTATGGCAGGGATAATAAGCATTTGGTTGCGGAACTGCGGGCCGCGGGTTAGAACCTCGCATGAAACAAGTGATGGTATTATTTGTAGGTCAACTAAAAATATTTCCAAGTCTGGATAATATTATCCATATGCAATTTATGTATTAAAACGCCTCCAAAATACATAAGAACATTCTAATGTGGTTTGGGTTTTTTTAATTGATTTTTATTTAACAAAAAATGTAATCGGACCCAAGTGCTCATCTGTAATTGGAAACAAAAGGACGTCAACAATGTTACCGCGATGTCGATCCTTACAATGTTTAGGAAGTCGTTTGTAAGGATTCTTTATACCATAAGGTAAAAAGCCACAACGTATAATATGGTTGCGGTAATGCTTAAAAACGATCAATGTCTAATACTTACCTATTTACTAATAGTGTGTTGAACGTACTAGGGCGGGCTAAGCGAATCTATCAATAACCATCACCAAAATTAATTCCGTGAGTATCGTAAGGTATATTGCGGTTTAACCATCTCATTTTAACTTGAAATATCATAATCGGCTACGAAAAACATGTCAAAAGACACGGAAACACCAGAACAACAGAAGTGAAAACTCAAAACAATGGATTAACTGTGATCACAAGATATTATCGTTCCAAAAAGTCAAACACACATATGATACAGTCGTATATATAAAATATATTAGTGTACATATGCGTATACACAGTGTACATACACAGGCCGCTATACTTTATTTACTTATGTGACTGTACTACGCGTCGCTAGTCTGGTAAGCGCAATACGTCACGAGCATGTCGAGGCCATCGGTGACGCGAACCCATAAGTTTTTCCCCTACCAAAAATCGCTCAAAGCGTCTAAAAAAGTTTTCACTTCAAAAACAACAGTCTGCTACTGCAATTGACTATCAAACCACCACATACCAGCTGATAAAGGAAAAGAAAAATATCTTTTTTCTTAATATTTTTAATATGAGGTTTTTTTTTAAAACGTTACACTAGGATGTTCTCCAGTAACGTAGAGGCAGTTGTACATACATAAATGAGATGGCTAAAATGTGCCCCAAGCTGTACAAAAATAAGACTATTGCTATTAATTTAAATTAAATAAAAAAAGAATTTTGAATAACTATTAACATTTCATAGCAGCTGTTGAAAAATAATCAAGTTTAAAAGTATTTAATGTGATTTCTTCTCTTTGAAGTCACACTATAGCACCTTTAATGTGGCCATATAATACTTAAAAAGATCAGAGTAGAGAAAAAACAATAGCTTAACTCATAAACATACTTTATTTATGATATGTTATGTATAAAAACAAGCCTTCAATTAATGGTTTAATACATCAAAGTAATCAAAATACATTAAGGGATAGGATTTTATTTATTTGTTTAATACAGCAACAGCTTAAACATGTAGCGTTACATTATAGGATAGGGTTATCTTACTTTAGTACTTGCAACACTGAATCCGTCCGTCAAGCATCAAAACAGTCAAAGTTAAACTTACGCGCCGTTTTTCTGTATATGATATATGTACGCTTTTCCTTCGTATTTGTGTTTTATCGTATTTTACTTTTATTTAATAAGTGCCATAGCCCCACGCGAGTGCTCCACTAATTATAAACGGTGTCATACGTAGGTTTAATTATTTTCTGTCTAATATACTTCGACCAATAATAGTTATGTTACAAAAGCTAGTTACAAATAATAATTTCAAATAGTCCTTGTTTTTTTTAGCTAAACCAGTTAGGATACATCCTAATCATCATGCAATGCATTAACCTACATAACACTCATGTATTGGAACTTTATTAATATCTACATTGTGTAATAATGATAAAAACCGACTGCCAAAGTCAACTTCTTTAAATCTTCATAACTTTTATCCACTACTGCGTAGCTACATACACTTTTCTAATTCTTTATATAGAAGATCTGTACTTTCAAATGACATAGATTTCATCTCTGTACAGTCTGGGGCACAGGTTCATACAATTTTTGGCCATCACCTTTCACAAGAGTAAACGTCCAGACCCGAAACAATAATTTATAGGTCATACAAATACTTGTTCCGTGGGGGATTCGAACCTGCAGCCGTCTGACACTGCGCCACGGTGACTATTGAATGAATGAATGAATCCTTACAGAGTCGGTGTTTTGTTGTGAATTCCAATGTAGTTTTTCTTACACAAAGTATACAAGAAGCATGACGGTGTATTAAAAAGTTAAATGTCAAAGTTACAGACTATATACGTACCACAGGTGGACACAGTTCTGCATTCACTTTGGAGAGCGTAATGGATTAAATAAAACTAGTTTTTACGGATTTAATCGCGTAAATTAAGAATTTTATTCTCGAGGTAGCCATGGTTAACCATGACATTGGAACGTCGAACACCTCAATCCCCCCGGAACCATGGGTGCTGTAAAGTGCTCGAAACGTCGGGAATATAAAATAAGTTAATACACGCGATAAAATTGTAAGTAAATCGAAGTCTTGCAGTGGCATGCTTGGGTTTTGGTTTAGACTTCAAAATACTGTAAGCTCGTTTTGCATAGATTGGTCCGAACAATTAATATTAAAAAACTGAAAGTAGCCGGGCTAACTATGACATTGGGACGTCAAACATCTCAGTCCCCCGTGACCATGGGTGTTGTAAAGTACCCGAAACGTCGGGAATTAAAAATAAGTAAAAGTAGTTAATTAAACGCGATAAAATTCGTAAATTTAGTTTTATTCAATGCGTAGTGTTCGCGTAAATTTAAGAAATCATTATGTTTATTCTTGTCATAATTTGCAGGGCGACCGACGCAGACGTGGGGCCGAACGCAGCAATCCGCTACGCGATCATCGGCGGTAACACACAGATGCAGTTCTCGATCGACAGTCTGAGCGGTGACGTGGCATTAGTTAAGGCGCTAGACTACGAACAAGTTCGCAGCTACCGTCTCGTCATCAGAGCTCAAGGTTTTAATAACTTACTTCTGCTATTGTTTAACTGTTTTTACATCATATTTCAAAAGCACGAGATTTTTTCTTCTTATATATTGCTTCAATTGAGCGACTGTATTAAATAAGCGACAATTGCCATATGTGTTTTTGCAAGATAGCAGTGTGTGGACCGCGAATTAAAAAGGTCGTGGATTCGAATCCACAATTTGACTACTGTCGTGAACTAACACATGCGTTTTAAGCTTACCAGGAATGGTTAAGTTAATATTAGTAATGACAATAGCACTGCTAGTATTTAAACCAAAGAAAAAATATGTACCGACCACGTGGTTAAGAGTACTCATCTGGGTTTAAATCCCAGTTCAAACCAAAATTTATAAAAGCTCAAACTTTCAGTCTTGCTTGCCACATTCTTTTGTTAACCTCACGTCGTCTAAAATGCATCTAAACGTATTAGCAAAATATTTTCTATGCAGTTGCCAAATTTATTCGGATGTTAAAACCATGATCGAAATCAGTGAAAAGTCCTCATCATCAATTGTATTTCCAGTAGATAATCCCTATCGGATTCGAACTCAGGACATTTAAGATTCGCAGTCAAGAGCCCCTTAAACATACGCTAATGTCGCTTAACTTCTTTTCTTCATTTTCATTTTATCAAGTCCAGCTTATATATACTTGCTTTGATTCTCTATGATATCTTTAAAAATGTAATTTTATGACGTTTGTGATTAATTATCGCAGATGGGGGCAGTCCGTCTCGTTCTAATACCACGCAGCTGTTGGTAAACGTAAAGGACGTAAACGACAATGCGCCAAGATTCTACACTTCGTTATTTCAAGAATCCGTCAGCGAGAGTGTGCCCGTTGGCTATAGCATCGTCAGGGTGAGTAATGATGCCATATACACACTTTTACCAAAATTTTAATAAATACAAACATGTAAATATTTGTAATGAAAATTAAAACCTTTATCATATGTTAATTTTTGAGGTTTTATTGTTATTTTTAACTGCCAAATAGTTCCATAAAATATGAACATGCAAATAGAATAATTTAAATATGTATTTTTTACAATTTTTTTAACCATATTTTTGATGATATTATAGTAAGGAAATAACTCAAAATATGTTTAAGTTGTTTGAGTAATAATAAGTAAATTAAACCTTCATTAATGAGTTTCACTATTAGGTACAAGCCTATGATGCTGATGAAGGCGTCAACGCTGAACTTACCTACACTTTATCGGACAAAGAGTACAACGGAAATAACGACCTACCAATCACGATAGACCCTCGCTCTGGATGGGTGTACACGTCAGGACAACTCGATAGAGAAGTGCAAGCAAAATACCAACTACAGGTAAATAATAAATATGCTTGGAGAGGAAATTACAAAAAAACTAATTGGTGGCTCAATGCTGCGCTTTATTACTGGCCTGCGCTTAGTATTCGATGAGCTGCAATGATTATATTATATAACGATGATTTTGAACCAAAATATTGCTATAATTGATAGAATCAGGCGTTACTTTGCGGAAATCCATTATAATAAAAAATAAAAATATAAATTTCTTTGCAACTTTCCGCTAAACATATAAAATGATGTGTCTTACCTGGATTGAAGCGCACCTCCCGCCCTCCCTCAATTGCATACACTAACTCCGTCACCACTAGACCAAGCACCACTACTCTCAACACCACTATTCCAGGCAACACACACCATCGACGATAATACGACACGTGTTTCGCCTCTACACGAGGCATCCTCAGGTAATATAAACTCTACGGCGGCTGACCGCTAAGTGAGCGGCGAGTCGAAACAGTTGCTATTTACACACGCTGACACAATCGCTCCCTACCAAAGTAGCGAGTGACCGCGTAGTGCGATAACAAACCTGCCAACAGTTATTATTATTGTTATGATTATTTTTAAATACTATTATTATTATTGTTTTGAGTGACCGCGCCGTGCGATAACAAATCTGCTACTAATTATTATTATTGTTATGATTAATATTTAATATTAATAGTATTTAAAATATTAATCATAACAATCATAATAATTAGTAGCAGATTTGTTATCGCACGGCGCGGTCACTCGCTACTTTGGTAGGGAACGATTGTGTCAGCGTGTATAAATAGCAACTGTTTCGACTCGCCGCTCACTTAGCGGTCAGCCGACGTAGAGTCTATATTACCTGAGGATGCCTCGTGTAGAGGCGAAACACGTGTCGTATTATCGTCGATGGTGTGTCTTGCCTGGAATAGTGGTGTTGAGAGTAGTGGTGCTTGGTCTAGTGGTGACGGAGTTAGTGTATGCAATTGAGGGAGGGCGGGAGGTGCGCTTCAATCCAGGTAAGACACATCATTTTATATGTTTAGCGGAAAGTTGCAAAGAAATTTATATTTTTATTTTTTATCAAAATATTGCTGGTTTTCCAACGACTTGGCCATATGACCCTAAGAAACCCAATTGTATCCAGGTAACGGCGACAGACAGTGGTGTGCCTCCTCGCTCGGCAACGGCCTCCGTGGCAGTGGTGGTGCAAGATGTGAACGACAATGATCCGGTGTTCTCGCCGCCGCAGTACGAAGTGGAGTTAGCTGAGGATGAACCGCCTGGCACGCCAGTCGTCACCGTAACCGCTACCGACGCTGATGAGGATAACAGGTGATGAGATCCTTTTTCGATTTGCGATCGCAATTACAAGTTCCTATTAGAGATATTTTTACGTTCATCTTGCATAATACACCTCAGAGTGACTGATGATAGACCGAAAGAACCAGATTCTTATAGAAAACCAACGTGAAATAGCAATATAATACGCTAAAACGCTATTTTTTGTACATCTATTTTACTTGAATATAAATATATGATATAAATATATAATAAAAATAATGCATTCGTATTTACCAGAGCGTCTACACCTTGATTCTTACACGTGATGGTATAGGTATCTCAGAGCCACAGCATCCACATACCATCAGACAGTCTGTGTGGTCGTTTATTATCCTTACTTCTATATAAATTTATTACAGTTTAATAGGTGTTTGCGCAAACACAGGAGCACGAACTAGCTCGACAGCTCGATACTCATTTTTTTCCATTTTACAAAAAATACTCATTGACTCACTCAAACGACTACGCGTCCAAAATGGCTGTCAAAAGATGCACAAATACATTTACAACTCTTTTTGGAGGATCGCTGCCATCTTCACGTAGAGGCCGGAAACCTCCCTGGTACAGTTCACTTATTTATGTTGGATTTACAACAAAAGAGAATTTGTCGCCTGAGTTGCTTTTCTGGCATGTCGTAAAAGATGTTGGGTTTGTGTTTGTGCAGGCAATGACCCTATACCTGTTACTCCTCCACAATTTTCTATTGTAACTCATATTTCTGGCTAAAAGTTGGCTTAGTAGCTCGCTGTTTTTTGGACTCTGCCTACACTTTCGGGGATTGCAGGCGTGACGATATGTCTGTAATGAACGATACTTCAATTATTTATTGTGATAAAATGCTTGATCTCTCAAAGTGAACAGGTCAATTTTATTTTATAATTTTTTTTATCTTATTTTTGCCGTTTTAAATAACGTATTATTAAAATTATTATTATGAAAGTAGTAATTTTTATCGTTATAGGTTGCATTACGAAATCACGGGTGGCAACACACGCGGCCGCTTTTCCATCACGTCGCAGAATGGCCGCGGGCTGATCACAGTGGCCCAGCCGTTAGACTTCAAGCAAGAGCGCCGCTACGTTCTTACCGTGACTGCTACTGATCCTGGTGGAAGATCTGACGCAGCCATGGTCCATATCAACATAACCGATGCCAATAATTACGCGCCGGTGTTTGAAAATGCACCTTATACTGCATCGGTGAGCGTTTATTTGATTAGCTTTTTTAAATAAACATTAATATTAGATTTTATATAATATAGATAAACCTTGAAGCTTATAAATTCGAAAATCGAATTCAAAAACTCTCACCAATGTTCTGGGTGTCGAAAGAAACTACTTAGGAAAGCAGCAAACTTCGCCACCAAATAAATTCTTCCTTCAATAAGAAAAGGCTTATCTTCGTCTACTAATAGATTATATGGGTTAATGGTTCTAAATCGCTTAGCGTTTGGGCTGGCAACTGCAGTTTCTCATTATTGTGAGTTGTTATCAGGAACATGCTGCTGACCATCTATCCCCTGTTTCGTTTTTTTCTGTTACCTCTTACGCCACCTACGGGATGATATGGGGTCATTGATTTTCCTACGCTCTACTGTTACGAAGTAATCACCCTATGAAGTTATGAAGGAGGGTATGATGTGCTGAAGACTTTTGATAGGCTGCAATTAATTATTTAAAAAATGTTTTCTTTTATAGATTAAGGGTGACAAATGTGCACACAGTCCACTTGATGGTGAGTGGATGCTGTGGCCCAAACACATCTACATTTATCCTCGATTGAGAATCAAAACTCAGATGCATTGTGACATTGAGGACTTAGGTGAAATGCCTCGTTTCCAGTAAAAAGGGTCTTCGGTTTTCTACACTCACCATACGAAATACAGCAGTATTAAGCTGCTATTTTACGTTGGTATTCTTTGAGAGCCTGGTCCTTCCCCGATCGAGCCGACCCATACATGCTACAACCATTATATTGGTAATTCTAACGTTCATAAATCAATGAAAATGGCTTTTCCTCAGGTATTTGAAGACGCGCCAGTAGGGACAACGGTACTCGTAGTTTCGGCTACCGACAGCGACGTGGGCGTCAATGCACAAATCACCTACAGTCTCAGTTCCGAAATCTCTAACGAAGCCGTCGCTCACCACGACCATGAGTTTCTTATCAACCCGCATACTGGTGCCATCACTACAAACAAGCTGCTGGACAGAGAAACTATGAGTGGTAAGCAAAAAAGTAATGTACTATACAAGTTCTCGTGTCGTTAACGAAACACCTTGACCGCTAGCCGGGCAGGAGCAGCCGTGAGACGCTGCCCCGCGCGTGCGTCGCCGGATCAGTTCCCAACCTCTCACAACCTCCCGCAATCACCATCCTCGCCAATCTGCATCAGCACCATTTCTCTATTCCAACCTACGCAGCACTTAAGTATTATTCTTCGATCTTATCGTATAAGCTTTACTTGTCAAGCAATTAGTTAAAAAAAGTTGGCCGACATGGAACGTCCAACAGATGTGTTTCGTTTTAATTAATTATAAATTCTACAATCATAGATGATGGTAGAATTTATAATTAATGAAAACAACAAAAAATATGGAGTATAATAAATTTTGAAACAAAGTTGAAAGTCACACGCAGTACACAACTCACACAGAGAAGTATTATTATAATTCCGGAACATATTTACTATACTCTTTGGTGTATACGCGCGCGCTCACTTAAGGCAGTTCAGAGCGGTGGCGTAGCAGCGTAAATGACGGAGCATGACGACATAAGCATTACGTTAAGTCATGGCGTATTCTACCAAGGCGCGCCAATAGATGTTTCACATCAAAAATACCGGACAATCAAGATAGTGTCTTTATGTATGTGCGACGAATTACACTTATTTCTTCGATGTAAGAAATAAAATTTCGTTTGTCAAATGTTAAGTTAACAATAAGTACAATAGCATAGTACTTAATATATACAGAATGAAAATCAATACCAAACCCATCAGTAACGGCAGCTTCGATCAACAATACCAACTAGATAATGGGATCATGTACAAAATCATAGCTAAATACTGCCCGCATGAATATAAACTATGAAAAGACATAAATTAAATAACATTTAGTATGAAATCAACCTTAAGTTATAACAAATAAAGTTCTTTTTCCCTTTATAGCCTTGCCGGCTACACTCTCACGTGCAAGAGCTCACGTTTCATGTGCGCTCTTATTTACTGAGATGGATTTCTTGCGCCGACCCGACATCTAGTTGGTATTGTTGATCGAAGAACGGCAGCATGGATGTTCTGTAATGCGATATCAATATCGATACGATTAAAATCATAAATCATCAGTGCAAATCAAACCCGAGCTGACAAGTATGATGTAGGTACAAATTAAAGGGAAGTGGAAGATCTGTTGCATGACGTCGCTCCAAGGAGATACGAGTACCTTTAAAGTAATTTTGAGACAGTATAATATATCGCCACAGTCGAAAAGCCGTCGGGAGAAAGTCAACGATAATAAATATAAATATAAGTAGCATATAAAATATTCTGAGGGATAATTACTAAATATAGCTAATCACCGATAATCCTCGTAAAATAATGCAACACTCTCATTTCTTGGCAAACGTGATTGAAATGGTGTTGTATGATGACGTTTGTTGTAGTATGTTGATGTAATCGGGATGAACATTATAATTTACATCTTGTTATGAGCCTTTAATAAGTCAATGGTTGAAAATGCTTTGCTCTCAGCTAGCAAAATTGTGGATGTTTGTTTGTTTTGTACATTATTTTAACTATATTGAAAACTCATGAAATATAAGAATATTTTAAATGTTAGTTAGTTACAGTCTATTCATATATGTCCCACTGCTGGGCACAGGCCTCCTCTGATTTCTGAGAGGGTCTTAGGGCGAGGAAGTGTCCGCCACGCTGCCCCAATACGTGTTGGCGAACTTCACATGTGTTCGAAATATTTTTTACTTATTTCCCAGACATGCAGATTTTCTCACGATGTTTTTCTTCACCGCCGAGCACGTGGTCAATCAGCACTTAAAATTTCAATTAACGATTTCATTTCTGACGGCGGGACCCGAAACCGGGTTGCCCGCGTAATGTAAAATTTACAGCGAGCGCTTACCGCTCTGAGCTACAACGGCTCCTCAAGAACAATTTAAAAAAAATTAACGAATGTAAACATAAAAATATGTGGAGGTTAGCCACGTATATGGCTATCGTAAGAAGCGACTGTGGGATATGCATATCATAAAGCTTCCGTACAATCTGCCACTTTGCCTGGCGTATGTGGACTATGAGAAAGCCTTTGATTCCGTCGAAATTTGGGCGGTGCTACAGTCCCTTCAGCGGTGCCAAGTTGACTGTCGGTATATCGAAGTGCTGAAGTGTTTGTACAGTAGGGCTACGATGGCTATCCGAGTACAGAACCAGAGCTCGAAACCTATCCAACTGCAGAGAGGTGTAAGACAGGGTGACGTTATATCCCCGAAACTCTTCACCGCTGCATTGGAAGACGTTTTCAAGCTACTGGACTGGAAAGGATACGGTATTGACATCAATGGCGAGTACATCACTCACCTTCGATTTGCCGACGATATAGTCCTTATGGCAGAATCGCTGGAGGACTTAAGCACTATGCTCAATGACCTCAATAGTGCCTCCCAACGGATAGGTCTTAAGATGAACATGGACAAAACAAAGATCATGTTCAATGTCCATGTCACACCTATGCCGGTAGTTGTTGGGAGCACTATGCTCGAAGTTGTTGACGAATACGTTTACCTGGGACAAATAGTCCGACTAGGTAAGTCCAACTTCGACCGAGAGGTCAATCGACGGATTCAACTCGGCTGGGCAGCGTTCGGGAAATTACGGCATATCTTTTCGTCAGGTATACCTCAATCTCTAAAAACTAGATTGTACAACCAGTGCGTGTTGCCAGTGATGACTTACGGATCTGAGACGTGGTCCTTCACTGCTGGCCGTATGAGGACGCTTAAGGTCGCTCAGCGAGCTATGGAGAGGGCTATGCTCGGAGTTTCTCTGCGTGATAAACTCAGAAATGAGGATATCCGCAGTAAAACCAGAGTGACCGACATAGCCCAACGGATTAGTAAGCTGAAGTGGCAATGGGCCGGCCATATAGCTCGAAGAACCGATAACCGATGGGGAAGAAAGGTTCTCGAGTGGCAGCCTCGTACCGGTAGGCGTAGTGTAGGGCGACCCCCCACTAGATGGAGTGACGACCTGGTAAGACATGCAGGAAGTCGATGGATGCAGGTGGCTCAGGACCGTGCTTTGTGGCATTACTTGGGGGAGGCCTATGTTCAGCAGTGGACTTGTGAAGGGCTGTAATGATGATGATGATGAAAGCTTCCGATACGCCAGGCGTAAAATACGCCGACTGGCGACAGAAAACAGCGTCAAAAGTGCCAAGCGTGACGATTAGCAAAACCCTCTGTACAATGCCACAGGCCCATGTCCGGCAATAGATCCTTACGGATTGATAAAGACCATGATCATCACTGATCAGAATTGTCGCTACAACTTTAATTATTTCTAATCAGTGACAATCAATTTTTTAACAAAACGTTCTTAATTTTATCGTATAATAATTTATACAGTGGTAATTTTAATATAAATTTTTACTTTTAGGATACCTACTAACGGTCACAGCCCGTGACGGCGGTGTTCCGTCCCTTTCCGACACAACGGACGTGGAAATATCTGTTGTAGATGTAAACGATAATCCGCCTGTATTTAGACAGCAGCTATACACTTCCAGCATTATGGAGGATGCTCTAGTGGGTAAGACAACATTAAATTGCAGCTTTTCTCAGTAGACCTGATTAGGAAAAAGAATTATTTTACTTACATAAGAGTACACGATGTCAATATATTAAGGTGTTGTATGCCACATCTTATGTCAATTTTGTAAGAACCATCAGTTGTAAAATATTTTTGACTGAAAGTTGTCAGGTTTCGCATTTTTCTAAATTTTTAGTTGTATTTTTTTAAATTGTTGTTTCTAACTCCTATAGCTTGCAAGATATTGAAGCTTGCTAGAAATTTCTGTATCTAATAACAAGGTGATATGGAACCCGAACTCTCATTCACTTTTTCATAAAAGTGAATGTGTTTTATTTACACAAAGGGCGGACTAAACACCTTCAGGTTTGTTATCAAAATCAACCCAAGGCAAAGTGAGATAACAGTGTAAAACAAAATTATGTTGAAAAACATAATAACCATACACACATCAGGTCAGACAGATAGAATGAAATTATAAGTATAAAATATAAAAGTCTCTTATAATGTGACTGTGTGACTGTGATGATCCATAAAATATTAACAGTTTCAAATCATCCCACAGGTACTTCGGTGACGCAAGTGAGCGCAACAGATGCAGACGTGGGGCTGAACGGGCGCGTGCACTACGAACTGGAGCCACGCGACCGTGAGGAGGGCTCGTTCGTCATCGACCCCGCGTCCGGTGTGCTGCGCACCAACAAGGCGCTGGACCGCGAGTCCGTCGCCACATACGACCTCAAAGCACTCGCGATAGACGGAGGCACACCACCCCAGAGTTCCACTGTAAGATATTTCAAAAATATTTTCCTTCTTCCTCAGCGCGGAACAGTAATTTGTAAGACTTAAGCCTCACCCGTTGTAAACAAGATTGGCCTTAACCGCCACGCTTGGCAGACAGATAAGCGATCACAATATCAGACGTCTGGAATCTTTAACGTTGCTCCCCATCACGGGGGTATTGCACGTGTGGTGTAAACAAACTTGCTGCCATCAGTCGGACGCATTGAGGTCTTTCTGGCGTTTTCTATAGTCGGCTCTTACAACACCTACGGTACGCAATGGAGTGAAGAATTCGCTTAAGCCGCTACCACGTATCTCATTCTAATGATTTTTAAAGAACGATGAAGACATAGGTACATTTATACGTGGTAGAAACACACTGCAGCTGTATTATGGCTGCAGCAGGAGTGGGTCGGATGGACCGTGAAAGGACCAATGCTGCTGTATTCGTGTGGTGGCTGGTGAGAACCGGAGACCGTTTTTGTAGAAAACGAGACATTCCATCCTAGTCTTTTGGGGTAACGACGCATCCGTTTGATCTATGATGTATAAGTCACATTATACACATTTCATCAGATAGACTTTAAGCACGTTTGTTACCCTTGCTTCTATAATAAAGATGTATAAATAGAAATAAATAGCAATCAATCGATGTAAAAAAAGTCATTTATCTTTCTGACAATGTGACTTTTATATCATTTATATGTTTAATATGATTGTTAGATACGATTTCATGCGACAAACGTTGAATTCTTGATTTTTAGGCGCTAGTAGAACATACCTACGCGCTTTGCGCTTAAAACATTCAAATAAACATATGAAAAACAAAAATCATTCTACTCCTACATTTCTTCACAGTCTTTGAAATTTACTGCTCAACAAATTTTCTTCTTAGGGTGCGCTAAAAGATCACGTGGGTTCAACCATGTAGTGGCGATTAAAGAATATCCATAACTCCATATCATACCATGGGTGTCATAAGAGGAATCAAACGAGGAGATGGGCAACAGTGTCTTTCTAATAACAACTAAATAAAACTGCGGTTACCTACTCATCTGCCATTTTTTTTCATAGAATTAGGGTAACCAACGAGCACACAGTCCACCTGATTCTAAGTGGATGCTGTGGCCCATGGACATCTACATTAATCCTTGATTAAGAATCAAAACTCAAATGCGTTGTCATCCCTGAGGACTAAGATGGAATGCCTCGTTTCCAGTAAAAATGAGTCTCCGGATCTCTACACTCACCATACGAACCACAGCAGTATTAAGCTGCAATTTTACGCTGTTATTCTGTGAGAGAGTGGTCCTACCCCGGTCGAGCCGGCCCATCCATGCTACAACCATAATATTATAGCTGCAGCGTGGCTCAACCACGTACTAACTGCAACACATATGGCGAATATCCACGCTGTTATTTATCAACTGGAACAATCTATCGGGAGGCCAGTGCAGCAGCACTGTCGATAGCTTCCAATATTATTTTCGATATACTCACACTGTACTAGCTCCTAATCATCAGACACATACTCGTACATCAGACGTAACGTCACGTAACATAATTCTATGTAAACTATATCACTACTAATAACATTTGTTGCCAGGTAATAGTCCATATCAAAGTCGAAGACATAAACGATTCACCACCAGTATTCGAAAGCGACTGCCTTACATTTTATATACCGGAGAACAGTCCTATTGGGACCACAGTGGGAGAAATTCGAGCACATGATCCAGATGAAGGACCAAACGCCGTCATTCATTATTCTATTAAGGGTACTATGCTTTTTAATTTAAAAAATGTGTTATTTTTGATTATGAATTCCCCAAATTTTATTTATTAAAATGAAATCACTTCTCTACAATCGAGCACTACAAATATATTCCAATCACTCTGTAGATGCCTTAGGTTTACATTTTATGTTTTCGATTTAAAATCACGCAGCGAGAGTTCTTTTTTTAATCATTCATTTATTAACATCTCTATTTTTCTTGTTTTTATTATTTTCATGCAAATTTTACTATGATTAATTTGTTTAATAGCACAAAACTACCGGAACTATATGGACTGTAAGTTCATTTTCTAATGCTTTTTGTAGTAGAAGGGCTTCATTATTGATTAAATAATTCCTTCAAATCGTTTTTAATCAATTTCACTTTCTTTAGGTGGAGATGATTCCAACAGCTTTTCACTAGAGACCCGTCAAGGCTCCGATAAAGCGGAACTAGTCACAATGGTAGATTTGGACTATGAGAGCCCTCGTAAGAAATACGAATTAGTCATAAGGGCCGCTAGTCCTCCACTATGGAACGACGTCAGAATTGAAATATTAGTGACCGATGTAAACGACAATGCCCCTATGATGAAGGATTTTCATATTATTTTTAATAACTTTAAAGATTGCTTTCCCGTGGGGCCGTTTGGTAGAGTTCCAGCATACGATGCAGATGTTTCAGATAAGGTAAACAGATATTTAACAAAAAAAATTCTTAATTCTCAAATGTACGTAGCTTATTACGTGGTAGAGCCACGCTGCAGCTATATTATAGTTGTAGCACGAAGGGGTCGGCTCGACCGGGGAAGGACCATACTCTCACAGAATACCAGCGTAAAATAGCAGTTTAATACTGCTGTATTTCGTATGGTGAGTGTAGAGATCCGGAGACCCTTTTTGCTGGAAACGAGGCATTCCATCTTAGTCCTCAGGGGTTACAACGTATCTGCGTTTGGGTTCTTAATCGACGATAGATGTAGATGTTTATGGGCCACAGCATCCACTTACCATCAGGTGGACTGTGGGCTCGTTTGTCACCCTTGTTCTATAAAAAAAATATCTTTTTCGTCACTTCACCGCATCACAAAAACACACTGCTGGATGCGGAGAAAGATTTGCCTTAATCGTCACACTTAGCGCTCGCAGTACCAGACGTCTGGCACCTTTGACGCTGCTTTACCAATGTGGGTATTTACGTATGATGTAAGCACGATGGATAAACTGCTATCCTTTGGAAACCATAAGTCTTTTCTGTCTTTCGCCTTAATGGCCTCTTACGACATCCACAGGATGATATGAAGTAGTAAATACTCTTATGCCGCCACAACACCGGGGCACCCCATTGCCAGATACTTCCACTTGACCGCATCCAGCGCAGAGCGGTTCGGATTTTCACTGGCGCTGCGTAGGAATGTTACATCTCTTTGCGTTTTCTATCGCATCTACCACGGGGAGTGCTCTGAGGAATTGTTCGGATTAGTTCCAGCCGCCAAATTTCACGAACGCACATCACGTAAATTTCACGATACCATCCTCACCATCTGTATGCTTGGCGGTCCACACCTGTACGTTTTACTAGGAGTTTTCTTCCTCGTACAACTTCTCTGTGGAATTGTTTACCACCGGCGATTTTTCTGGACCGATACTACTTGGGGGCCTTCAGGAAAAGAGCTTACTCCTTTCTAAGAGGCTGGCAATGCACTTGTTGATGTTGTTCATGGGCGGTGGTAATCACTTTCCATCAGGTGAGACGCATGCTCGTTTGCCCCCTCCTCTATAAAAAAATCTCTATACATTATGTGCACTGTTAATTAATTAATCAATAAACACGGTATTCTTTCAAACTCCTCTGCTGTTACAGCTGTACGACTCTGGAATACGCTTCCTTTAGTAATAGGAAATATCCACAAGTGGATTTTTAAAACAAAAATAAAAGAGCATTACTTATGCTCATCTGACACATAAATAGATACATAAAAAATTTAATTATTATATTTATAAAATACATTATCGTCTATATATTTATGTATTTTAATAATCTATATATTTATATATTTAATTAAGTATGATCTACATGTGGGCATGTGTATGTGTGTGTGTGTGTGTGCGTTCACAAGCACACACATACACACACCTATGTGTGTGCGTGTGAATATGAAAAAATATCAATATTACGTTTTTTACCCTAGCCTGCAGTACAAACTTCTCCCAATAACTATCCGATTGGCTGTTAGAAAAGTTTGAAATGCCATGAAGTCCGTTAAGACCTTTAGTATAAAAATTGTTAAATAAATAAATAAATATAATGATACTACTTAACTTTTAATATACTTCAATAAAAATTTTACGTATTTTTTAAATCAAAAAGCAGGTGATTAAGTAATCTGAAAATTGTGTAATTATTGTGTCTATATTTTTTCAGCTCCGCTATCGCATTTTATCTGGAAACAATGCAAATTTAGTTCTTTTGAACGAAACAACTGGTGCCATGACACTATCACCTCAACTGAACACCAACGTACCAAAACTAGCCACCATGGAAATATCCGTTACAGGTGAGTATTATATTAAGAAATGCCATTAAGTTTAGTTTTAAACAACATGAGGACGACAAAAGAGAACTCAATCAACCTGATATTAAGTTTATTCTGTGGCCCATACATTGAAATACTAATACACAAATAGTATTTTTTACGTGATAAAGACACGCTGCAAAATACCAACGTAAAAAAAAACAGAATAATGCTGTGTTTTGTATGCTGAGTGTTGAGAGTGTTGTATATATTTTACTGGCTAAGAGGCATTCCATTTTAGTCCTTAGGGGTAACAACGCATCTGCATTTTGATTCTTAATCAAGGATAGATGTGGATGTCTATGGGCCGCAACTTCCACTTACCATCAGGTAGACTGTGTACTCGCTTGTCACACTTATTTTATTTAAAATAAAATTTTTGTGTGTCCATAGACATGTACAATTCTGCTCAAAGAAAAAGTGAAAAAAAGTGCACATGCGTTTCACCTATGAGATGGACTACTAAAACTTTGGGCTATTGATCGTAATGCACAACGGTGCGGCATGCGGTGCCGGATACTTATTCGTATGAAAAACGTGTAGAATGGTCTCTTGTTCCGTCGCAGTATGCGTCAGCGGCGAAGGGCAAGCGCGGTGAAGTGGGGAGCGGGTACTCCGCACTGCGCGGCGTCGTTCTCGTTGCGACGCTGCGGTGTGCATCATGGGTTGACAATAGATTGTATAATGAAGATAATTTAATATAATTTATTAGCAATTATACCTCTTTATATAAAAATAAAGACAAACTTATTTCTTCCTCCTCCTCCAACAAAGCACAAATTTCAAAACTATAGTTCACGTTGGGTCGTCTGCTTCCGCAAAATCAACTAACCAGTTCTCCGTAGAGATGCTAAACGCTGCGTCGTGACGCTGCGTTTGAGCTGCGTTACGATCGTTAGACCAAAGCTTTAGATAGAATACCTAGATATCAGAAATAAGTTATTGGACAAAATATAAGCTGTGAAAATTTAAAAAAAAACACAAATTTTGTGGTGCTGTGTCTTTAAACTTGTAATATATTTAATCTTACTAACTTGGAATATCTCCGAATTTCGCAAACAGCTCAATTGGCTCCCGATCCGCCTTCGCAGGAATACTCACATTCTCTCCGCGTTGTATAGTGTGCTGTTTAATCCTTCTACTCCTCTTTATTTAAAAAAACCGTTTCCAGTATCTTTCTCTTACCCATAATCGGTTCCTTCGATCCTCCGTTAATTTTTCTCTCTCTACACCTTTGCACTCTTCTTCCTTTTTCAATAAATCCTTCACTGTAACCGCTGTGCGATTGTGGAACTCCTTACCTCTCTATATTCGTCGTGCTAAATCTCTTCACTCTTTCAAAAGTCTTGTTAAATCGAATTATTTAGAACGCTATTAGATAAATTACTTTACCTCTCGTACTTTTTTTCATTTAATCTATTATATGATATTTTATATATAACTTTCACTTATTTTTATTTGTATGTATTATTATATTATTATATTTTTTTATTATTATTTTGTATGCGTATGAGTAGGTCCCCCCCTCTATTTGTAACTTTTGTTTGCATCATTCCTCTATGCAAAGGTTGTCTGGAAGAAATCACTTTCAGAGTGATAAGACCGCCTATTGTACATACTTTAATTAGTTTTAACTATATTGATGGTTCTGTATTGTGGTGTACAAAAAAGAATAAATAAATAAATAAATATATTTTTATTACAAGTTTACCCACGATTTTACCATAAAATATTTTATCAGTTAAGATGGAATACATATCCAATTACCTACATAGGTAGGTTGGAATAAGCGTTGTCATCCTTCTATAAAAAAGAACTACGTTATAATATAAAAAACAACAGATATATCCTCCTAATAATTATAGCTATTTTAAAAACCCAACTAACAAAATTAAATTCAACAGATGGCGTTAATGAAATTAAAGCAATGATGCAACTGTCAGTGCGACTGATAACCGAGGAAATGTTGTTCAATTCAATAACAGTAAGACTAAATGATATGACTGCAGAACAGTTCCTGTCACCATTGCTAGGTTTCTTCATAGATGGACTGGCTGCTATCATTCCATGCCCCAAGGAGAATATTTATTTGTTCAGCGTACAGGTAAACTTCAATTAATATAAATTAAAAGTTATCATCATCATCATCATCATTACAGCCCTTCACAAGTCCATTGCTGAACATAGGCCTCCCCCAAGTAACGCCACAAAGTTTTTGTGGCGTTACTTGGGGGAGGCCTATGTAAATTAAAAGTTATAAAAATAATAATAGTAATTATTCTTCCACTGCTGGGCACAGGTTTAATCTTAAAGGCACCACTGTATAGTGTTGGCAGATGTACCTATTAGCATGTCCTCATGTTTGAATACTATTTTCATTTCGCACATATATACACGTCCATGTGAAGAATGAAACACTTTATTGTAATCGTAATTAATGATTTTAATGGTGCAGACCGGATTCACACACAACACTTATTTAAGGGGCAATAGTAATTTAAATGTCTTAGTAAGATCCTCGGTTATGTCGAAAATATTACCGCAATAATTTTGAAATTAATGTGGTAAAATTGATGATTAATGTTAAGTACTATGTTAGACGAAAACACAATTCCGTAAAATTTTCTCGATAGAAATGAAATCCAGTTACCTTCAAACTAAACAATAAACCGCTGGTATTCATAAAATACTTTAAATTAGATCATAAAACTTTGCATACTAACTGAAGTAACTATAAAGCAGGGCTTACGTTTTTTATATTTTTTTATATTACCATTATTTTTGCTGTATAAAGAAATTAGCTAAACTATCGGCGTCTTGAAGCTTGTTCTCTGCCGCCCGATCAGTCACATTCAGCTTTCCCGTTCGAAAGCCGAACGAAAGCTGTGTCGCTTACGATCAGAATATACATTACGCAACAGAACGACGTAAAATTAAAATGGGAAATAACCGTAATAAAAATAAGAAGCGACTGGGTTGGCGTTAAGAAACAGCCATAAATATGATAAACCTAATGAAATAAGTATCTAACGACCTCATAGCATACGACGCGCGGGGAAGTGGGGGCGTAATTAGAATTTGAGCTGAGGTACTATAGCCCCTTGATATGAAATTTAGTGCAGTACGCAGCCCCTGGGTATCGCTGCTCATCTTATAATACATCACATTAACTCTATACATAATATTTTAATAACTAAATAAAAATCCAGCTACAAAAGAATAGTCGAAAACTGGTTTTTTTTTCTAAAACTGAAGTGGCAAACGAACTTACAGTAGGTACACCTTATGACAAATGGCTACAGCAGTCTATGCTTACCTGCATCCTACTTCTAACAAAGAAGACTACAGATGAGTTGTCACCTCTGAGGACTAAGATGAAAAGCCACACAGCCTATAATGAAACATCTAGAATGTTCAAGCAAATAACGGTCCCGACCGTCTAGATGTAGAAAATTCGAGTGTGGAGTTATCTAGAAAGCTTAGTTCTTTTATTCAATAATAGATGGCGCTAGTACCATACTGGCTCTTTATACTGGTGGAATTCCCTTCAGATTCCAGGAAAAGCTCAAGAAACACGTTAAATATAAACATGGAACCTAATTGTATGACTTAATTCCAAAAACACTACTTTCAGGACGACACAGATGTAACTGGCAACATTCTGAATGTGTCATTTTCGGCTCGACGTCCGGATGCAGAAGTGGGTACAGGCGGTGATACATCTCAATTCTACTCGCCTACGCACTTACGCGAGCGACTTTATCTCAATCGCGCCACACTCGCGAGGCTCGCGACTGTACAGGTCAGTTACAGATACATTTAATTTCTTCTTAAACTTGTGTATACGATTGTACATTCATCTCCTGTATAGTCACTGCATTATTACCTACCTTCCGGTTTAACCATAGCCTGATATCAGTTTTTTCTAGAATTTAGCTTAATATAACTCTTAATACATATTTGAATTGACTGACGTTTAGTTTCTCCACTCATTGACGTTTAGTTCCTTTTCTACTATTGCGGCGCTGTAGTTATATTTAAAAACGGCACCAACAGTTATTACTGCGTAACTTTCATCTCGATTTTTATACGAACTCAGGCATGGAGCCGTGGTAGCTCAGATGGTTAAAAGCTTGCTGTTAATATAACAGAATGCGAGTAACTCGGGTCCGATTCCCGCCAGCACCAATGAAATTGTTAATTGCAATTTTAAGTGCTGATTTATCACGTGCTCGGCGGTGAAGGAAAACATCGTGAGAAAACCTGCATGTCTGAGGAATAAGAAAAAAAAATATTTCGAAGACATGTGAAGTTCGCCAACACGCATTGCGGTTGCGCGGCGAACACTTTCTTGCCCTAAATCGCTTTCGGAAATGAGGGAAGGCCTGTGCCCAGCAGTGGGACGTATATAGGCTGTTACTTTACTTTACTCATGCTGTTATCCTAATATCTAAATATAGAGTAGCCCTTTGATTCAATTTCACTTTAAGCGATTAATTGGTTAATTTTTTTCGTCTTTCTAATGAATTTCAACGTATAACTAAAGGGTTTCACGAGAAAAATACGCGCTTAGATGTCGAGTTGCGTGCCCGGCTAAATCAATTAACAAAATGGTTGTTCCCAATCAGTGCTTATATCTTTCGCTAACTAGATTTCACTGGTTGGAGCTGACTTATCTGCAGATAGATGGTCACACAGAGACGTCATCAGTGAAATATTTTAGGTTTCTAATTTATATGTTATTACATAGAAAAATCGTGCTTAATTTTTTACTAATTTTGAAATCTTTCTTGAATTTTTCTACTTTTAGGAATACACTTAGCTTAGTTTATTCATTTCTAATTTAATAATTACAAAATATAAATAATATTTAAATGAGAAATATTAATCTGTACTCTTTTATAACAATTTTACTTCTCCGTGATGAGATTTTTGACCTATATATTATAAATCTTATATATAAAAATCAAGTGCTGTTCGTTAGTCTCACTAAAACTCGAAAACGGCTCGAACGTTTCAGATGAATTTATTTTTGTTGTTTGGTGGTAACCCTGTATGGTTTAGGTTTTATCCCATTCCTGTCTTTTTCAAGTGGCGCCGCCTTATTGGAGAAAAAGTTGTGGAAGTCCTCATTAATCGGCTTATAAAACTGGGTATGTTCCAAAATATAACCCAGTGTACTGTCCAATGCAAATGACGTCATAAATCGACGCCATGCTGGTGATTCGTTTCAAAACATTTTACAGTATACGACATCATACATTTGCGTCATATTTGGAAAAGTGTTGGCGATTATTTTGTCATTTTGTGCTCCAAAAGTCATTATATCCTCCTAATGGAGATACCAGCAATTATTGATATCATTTTTTTTGTATTTGAATATATAAAAACAAATTCTGGCGTGTTTATTCAGCTTACACACAATTAAAAATTATTTTTATATAGCCGGATATCCGACACAATATGGCGGCGGCACGCCAGTACAATATGGTGTCAATTAATGATGTCATTTGTATTCGGCAGTATACTGGAAACGTTTCGGAACATACCCACTATCTTGGTGTTAATTATATATTAAGGTTGATTTTTCGCTTTGTAATACAAGTATTCGTGAATGAACTTAATTAATACTACCATTAAACATTATTTTGTACAAATTAAACCAAAAAACAGATTGCGTTTTATATGTGCCATCAAAGTTTATAATAATGTAATGACCTTTAAGGACCCCACTATTATTAATTACTTCTTCTTTGTACGTTTAAAATACAAATAATTAAAGATAACAAAATTTGCAAACCGTTGTTGGAAGTTAATGACATTTAACTAGCCATTTTCATACAAATAATTTTCACAAATTAGGTCGCTTGTATTAAGGGGGGACTTAGTTTTACCCTTTTTAATTTATTATTTATCTGCCAAACAATTATTACAACAAATGAAACCGTTAGGTTCGGGTCTGTATAAATTCAATATTTTATCGTTATATAGCATAATTTAAGAAATAAACTAGACTAATTTAAAAACAAAACTTTATAACTTTGTTTAAATTGTCTCTTGTTCTTTCTTAGGTGTTACCTTTCGACGACAACATTTGCATTCACGAGCCGTGCCTTAATTTTGAGGAATGCCTTACAGTACTTAAGTTTGGAAACGCCTCGGGCTTTATAAGCAGTGACACTGTATTGTTCCGGCCAATTTATCCCGTCACGGCTTTCACTTGTCAATGTCCGCATGGTTTTACTGGTAAGTTATCATATAGGTATTTACCATACGTATGGTTCTGAATTCTGAACTATAAAAGCACCATGCGAAGATAAATGAGGCATTTGAGATATAGACTGGCGACGTTTACTACATGTCACTTGGACTACTATATACTATAATAATATATATACCTTTCCATACTTGAGGAGTATAGATCGACACCCGCCTTTTGAATGAGCGTCAGCAACATAATGGGGGAAAGTAGAGGGCAAAAGAGCTAAGCAAACCACCAGACAAATGAAGTAACTCAGTCTTTGAGATCAACAATATATAACTACAGTAAGCAATACACAGCACTGGTGAAAAAAGCCCAGACAGTGAAAAGCTCTCTGCTATTCTCCGCAATAGTATAGTGGCTACGATCTTTAAGATTCAGGAAACAATTAGAATTAATTATAATATATTTAATTTCAACTTCAATTTAGTAAATACTTACATTGTGTTTTTGTGTATTTTTTACATAACTTATAAGTTAAAACTTGAGCGCAAGTGATGGTGATAGGTGAAACAGAATTGGCTATGAAAATGCCTAAACTTAGTGTCTATATATATAGGGTACCACTCTCCTCTTGAAGTTACATAAATAATATTCGGATGCAAAGATTTATGCACAGACGAATCATTCCAATACTTTTGTTGTACCCATTTTAAATATCCAATTAAAACGGTTTTTTTTTTAAATATAAAACTAAGTGGCAAATAAAGTTAAAATCCAGCGAATGGTTAATTACAACCCATGGACAGCAGCCAACTTTAAACAAAGACGCTACAAAAGCGTTGTCACCCTAATTAAAATTGAATGCCTCAAAGTCTGTAATTGTACTGGTCCTCTACACCTTCAAACCGATACACATCAATGCAAGCACTGCACAGAAACAGTTAAGCAGGTATTAAGTACCCAGACGGACTCCCATACTAAAAAGAAGTCCTACCAATAGGTAATAGCTTCTTGCGAATGCTAAGTATATGAATAAAATGATGGACTCTCAACGTGTGTCTTGTGTCTAAAGATAGAAAAGAGATGGGGGACTGATGCCCAAAAACTCAAACGCTGTTTATATGTTAGATGACGTTAAGTCTCGTGCCGTGTCTATCAAAGTGACTGTGATACCAAGGTACTTAACGACATCTTAAAATTGAGTAGCGTTTGACCACAAATTATTTATAAGGTACGTGAGGGTAATATGGTCACCTTAAGGTTATATACGCTATAAAACCAAAACTAGGAGGTGGACAGAGACAAAAACACAAAGTCGTAAAAATATTAATTATACCTATTCGAATTAGGAAGCTCCTATTTTCTTAACGTTTGCTAATAATCAAAAATAAGTGAAGAATACTATTTAATTTATACTTTCTATTGATAACTATTTAGTGAATTTCCTCTATTTATATCTATATTCCATTTTAGGTCTAAGAGAACACTTCTTATGTGACACGGAAGTAGACCTTTGTTACTCCTCACCCTGTGTCAACAACGGCACGTGTATGCAACGGGAAGGAGGGTACACTTGTGTGTGTGCTCCTGGATTTACTGGTAAGAGATTATTCAGTGTTCTCTGATAAAGGAAATACATGCAGGTTAAATAAATCAAAACTATTAATTAGTACAATTTTCTATAAATATGAGTTGTGATAATTTAATTATTGATGATAATACAGTTATTAAAACGCGTATTTAAAAATTTACTTATATAGGTACTTTTATTTATTGCGCTGTCTATCGATATCAATGTCTCAGTAGTGATGTCCATGCTTCCAAATAAAGTCTAACAGTTTAACAGTATAAAAGTCCACTGCTTAACATACGCCTCCACGTAAATTGTTCCTCGCAGGGGTTTATTCCATGGTTGCCGTGCTAGACGGACGAGCTGGGAACCGAAGCTTTTTTTAAATAATTTTAAGTTGATATCAGAAAGATGATGCGGGCCATCTCCTCTTCACATTTCCCTCTGTCGCCTTGAATGACACGGAACGCTAGTGGATATTCTTACACTACACGGTATAAAAATGTTAATATTGATATAAAAACTATAAAGATAAAATGATTTTTACACGATACGTGGTAGATCCATGCTGCAGCTATATTATAGTTGTAGCACGAATGGGACGGCTCGACTAAGGAAGATCCACGCTCTCACAGAATACCAATGTAAAATAGCAGCGTAATGCTGCTGTGTTTCGTATGGTGAGTGTAGAGTTCCGGAGAACCTTTTTACGGGAATCTAGGCATTCCATTTTAGTCTTCAGAGGTACAACGTATCAGCATTTTGATGGCCACAACATCCACTTACTATCAGGTGGACTGTGTGCTCGTTTTTCACTCAATGCTATAAAAAAGATAAGTTTAGAAGTCGGTGCTAAGTTATAATATTGTATCGAAGAATGAAAGGCTCCTCCTTTTTTATGTCGGTTGTAATGTTTTTAAATTTTTCCTCAGGTGCAAACTGCGAGACGATTTTAACAAAAGCCACATGCGAGCTGAACGGGGATGGAACAATATGTCGAAGTGGGTCTCAGTGTGTTCCAAAAAAAGAAGGCGGAATCTTGTGTCAGGGTTGTACTATTGATGCGGAGTACACAACAGCCATGTGTGAATTGAGAGCAAGAAGCTTCCCTGCTTCGTCTTTTCTAACATTCCCTGGCTTAAAAAGGAGACACAGATTTAATTTGAAACTTAAGTAAGTTTGCTAATACTATATTACGTTTATGCATATATATTTATTTACGTGGTAGAGCCACGCTCCAGCTATTTTAAGACTGCAGCAGATATCGGTCTGCTCGACCGGGGAGCGACCACGCTCTCACGGAATACCAGCGTAAAATAGCAGTTTCGTATGGTGGGTGTAAAGAACAAGAGATCTTTTTCCCAATCCCACCTAGACATAAGCTTCCCCCATAATAGTTCATAACAATTCTCTACGGAAAAATATTTTTTTCCGTAATCGCCAGACTCAACAGCTGCTTCCCGTCGATAGTCTGGATTGATCTAGCATATACGAAATAACATAATTCCATCCATCAGAGGGCATGAGGTCTTTCTGGTCTTTTCCGTAGACGCCTTTTATGATACCCACCTCAAGAAACGGGTTAAGTAATAGACGACAAAAATAAAAATAACCAGTTAAAAGTAACTAACGAAATACACATATTCAGACACAATCACGGCTTTAAAAGTATGTGAAGGTTCATAATCTTCAATATTATCACTTCCTTGTGGAATCGACTACCACCAGAGATTTTTCCGGAACGATACGACTTAGGGACCTTCAAGAAAAGAGCCTACTCCTTTTTAAAAGGCCGGCAACGCATCTGCAATTTCCCGGTGGCGGCGGTAATCACTTACCATCAGGTGAGCCGTATACTCCTTTGGCCCCTCTTCTATAAAAAAAGTAATTTTACCTTACTCGACACGCTTGCCTCACCCACTGGCAATTACAAACATCCAATGAATTAAAGAATCTCTAAAATTATGAAAATATTTTCAGATTCGCTACCACATCCCCATCGGGTCTATTAATGTATAACGGTAGATACAACGAACGTCACGACTTCGTGGCTCTTGAAACTATCGCTTCTGGCGCAGGAAAAAGTAGTGGCGCAGGTCTACGGTTCTCTTTCTCATTAGGCGGCACCCGAACCGAAGTTACCGTAGCCGCTCATGTAGCTGATGGTGCTTGGCATTCTGTTGAGATAAGATATTATAATCGGGTGAGTATAACATGTAGAACAGAACGTAGAATAGATAAAGTGATACGGGAAGAATTGGAAATACTTCCACTTTTATGAAGAGTGTAAGAAAAGAAGTATTTCTTTCAGACCAAAATAATTAAAAGTTGACTGGAGCTCGGCTTGACTAGAGCCTTTACACTAGAGCCTCTGTGTTACAGAGCGTTAAACACCTAAGTCGCCCGGTACTTAACATAAAGTGGGCGCCAAAAGCAGATTTTTCACGCTTTATATGGACTGTTTGGTCGGCCCGCGCGCTATTTGATTGATATTTGATGATTTTTCATTTTAAAATGATATATACTCTTTTATTGAAAATAAACTGATTGAGACAGTTTCATTCGAATGTGATTTCATTACATTCGAATGAAACTGCTTTTTCACTTAGTGGACTTACCTAAAATTGTAGATTTTGAGGAAACTTAGCGATCTTTTTCTATCGAGCCAAAATGTGTCAATCGTATTTTGGCCACCGTAATTCACTAATAAAAATCTTTAACTTTCATAATGAATTTAAAAAAAATTGAATTCGTAGTTTTTAATGACAAAAAAATTGCATTAAGTGAAAAATGTGCTTTTGGCGCCCACATCACCTTAACGAAGAGTATTGCATATATACACTCGATATATCCTGCATTTAAAATATGTTACAATAACCGTGATCAAGTGCGTAAAAATTGCTTAATTCGAATATAATCTTAGGGTTTATAATATTTGCCATTCTAATGTTGTAATTTATTTATGCCGTAGACTGTTACAATGATAGTTGACGACTGTGACAAGGACTTATCGTTAGCGGGAGCAAGCGAATTTGGCATCAAATACGCCTGTGCAAACTTCACACGGAAAGTGTTGCCACCACACTGCGATATTCCTACTGAAACTTGTCATAGGTAAGCTTCTAATTATTTAAATATAAATGTTATTCATTATTTACAGTTTTTTAATAACGTACCGTTAATATTTGTGAATAAATGAATAATGAATGTTTTGACATTAGCTATAAACCTTTCTTGACAATAAAATAATACAAGTTGAAAAAAATTACATATTCATAAGACACAGTCTATTCTATCATCGCAGATTCCTCGATCTCACCGGGCCCTTGCAAATTGGCGGCTTACCAAATATTCCAAGCAGCTTCCAAGTGAAGAACAAGGATTTCGTTGGCTGCATTTCTGACCTTTACATCGATCACAAATTCCTTGATCTTAACAGGTACGTATTTATTGGAATTTCAGACTACACTAGGTAGTTATAATTGTAGTGTGCCCTAGTAGCTCAGGGGATAAGCGCTCGCTGTAAATTTCTCATTACACGAGCAACCCGGGTTCCATCCCCGACGGCACCAATGAAATTGCTGATGCAAGTGCTGATTTACCACGTGCTCGGTGGTGAAGGAAAACATCGTAAGGAAATTTGCATGTCATGTGAAGATCACCAACATGCATAGGGGCAGCAAATAATTCTCCTTTCGACACAGGAGTCCATCTGGGTGAGTACTCCACTCTTCCTTTTCCGGTTTGGATAAGGAAGCAAGTTTATTCACAGGGTGTGTGGTCGCGGAGTAACAAAATTCATCGCCCAATTTCGTCTGATGAGTATCAAAAGGGGCTACGATGGTATATCATCTCGTATTTACCAAATGTAAAATAACCAGTCCATTAAAGCAGAACAGCGTCAATAACTACTGGTACTGTGATCACCGATCCACCTGCTATACGTGGCAATTACTTTAAACCCTTTCTACTCTGGGATAGGCCAGTGTCCAGCAATGACCCGCTAAGGGCTAAACAAAAATAAGAAGGAAACAAGAAGAAATTCACAGACTGTAGACTGTAGACAAAAATATATACAGTGGATTTTAGGTATAACGACGATGAAGGGACCGCTCTATTTTCGTTATATACTATACTATAGTTTATATTCACTTATTAATGAAAATATTTTCACACGTAGTTATTCACTGGTACATTTCAAAATGCTACTCAGAATATCGCTTTGGAACTGAACCAGAACTTTAACTCTGAAACGTATAGGCAACGCCACGAGTCATGGAAGTGCGCAGAAGCGAAAAATAGGTGTCGGCACGGTGAGGTGTGAGGTACGGGGAAGCGAAACCATAGCAACGGGCGACGCATTACTCCCACGTAGTTTCTTCCTGCGTCCCGTTGCCCGCGCACCTTCTTGTGTCGTCTTGTGTACTATCGATATCGAAAGTGTTAGCGACTACCTGTTATAAAATTTTAAATTTTTGCGATTATTTTTGTATTTTTAAAAATATTGTATTTTCAAATAGTGTGCTAATATTTATTAATTTATAAATTATTTTGGGACTATTTAAAATAGCGTAATTCGTAGTATATTGTATAAAGTTGTAAATATTTTGTTATTTTCTACAAGATGATTTTTTTTGCAAATTATTGCAAAATATCCTTATAATCAAAGACTATCGCATAGTATAGTTTAAACAGCAATTACAAATACAAAAATACAAAAACAAAATATTTTATTTCTTTAACTAAGTGTATATAAAATGCAGAATATTATTTAGAAGCAGTTAAAACCTAACGATGGTATATAAATATATCGTTCCGTTTTCATGGAGACTTTAATATGTAGTTATAACGTTGACCTTTGACTTTTTACATATTAAAATGCCAAAATAAAATTTTCATTTTTCTGCTTGATTGTACATGCGCAGTGGACTCTAATTAATTTCATCTTTCGTGGCGCGACCTATACACGCTTCCCTACTTACTTAGCTGATATCTATAAACAAAAGGTAAAGGTCTCCACACTTGCTGACCGTCTGTGTGGATGTAAGCAAAAGATAAGAAATGTTTGTGAAAGAAAGAAATCTTTGTGTCGTTGGCGGCCGACTCCGGTCGCGATATCTGCATGAGATTTCTAGGAATTTGTTACAAATGATTAATTAAAAACAGTCGCACAGCCGAACTCGGCGTGACATCCAAAGTCGCTATAGCCACATGAATTTTGTACTAAAGTATGCTTTAAATTGAAGGAACTTAAATTTAACGCCGCTATAGGTAAATTGTTGCTACAACCAAGGTCGTATTAAATGAATTTTTTTTATAGGATAGGGTGACAAACGAGCACACAGTCCACCTGATGGTAAGTGGTTGCTGTGGCCCATAGACATCTACATCTATCCTCTATTACAAATCAAAATGCAGATGCGTTGTCACCCGTGTGGACTAAGATGGAATGCCTCTTTTCCAGTAAAAAAAGGGTCTCCGGTTCTTTACACTCACCATACGAAACACAGCAGCATTAAGCTACTATTTTACGCTGGTATTCTGTGAGAACATTGTCCCTCCCCCGGTCGAGCCGACCGTGCTACAACTATACTATTAATATAACTGCAGCATGGCTCTGCCACAAAAATTCACTGTATATAATCAGTTCAATAATCTATCTTAATAATTATTTTAGCTACGTATCGGACAACGGTACAATAGCGGGCTGCCCGCAGAAACGCTCTCAGTGCAGTTCCGCGCCCTGCCACCACGACGCCGTCTGCAGTGACCTGTGGGATTCGTTTCTCTGTGATTGCCCCGAGGGATACACCGGCCATGACTGTGCTGAAAGTAAGTAGAACACCTAACCTTCTAACCCTGTTAAGAATGGTGAGCATCACAACAAATATTTAAGGGGATTTGTTTGATTATTGACGAAGAAGAATCGAAGCAGTTTCTCACTACAATGATCAAGATCCATGTCTAGCATTAAACTGTTTTTGTGCTGAATAAGGGTAAAAATTATCATGCATTTTGAAGACATGACAAACATCTACCCTTAAGGTAACCTTGATTTCTTATGAATAATATGGAAGCCATCATAAGGGTTATATTTACCGTAGCTGCCTAGCTTGGCAAGCGAATTGGCAACCACATTTTATTTTTTATTTTTAGTAGATGGTTGCGCCAAAACGCACATTTAGTTGACTATATTGGCTGGTAATATTTCCTTCCTCTTCACTTCGGTTGCCTTTCCTGCATGGGCACACCGATGGGAGGCTAAATTTGTGGCATTATTTTGATCGCTCAGTGACAGAAAAGTGAGAGGGGAAACACGCCACCGGCCGATCAGAGTTGTCAGTGAAGTGTCAGTGAGTGAGCAGTTGGAGCTAGATATTAGAGCTGATAGCAACTCTGTGGCAGTCGGTTCACAGAACAACTTAGTAGTGACCGCTAGCGCAAGTGCATTTATCGTTGTGCACTAGTGCGAATAAATCTTCGTGGCGCCGACAGGAACCAGTAGCGTCACCATTTTGTGGTCATTCCACCAACTCTAGTTGATTTTAAATTAGCAACCCTATACCATTAGATATACACCAGTAGATATATCAATTACATAATTCAGCTCGAATTTCGCAGTGTCGAATTCACGAAACAGCTCTTTAGCAGGCCTATAAATTATTGATCCGGGTCTTGATATTTGTGTCCACGTTACAGGGAGCACATCAGATTTACATTTTTTGTCTTGTGCTCCACGATGTCGTTCCCCATAACGATTTGTGTTTTAAGAAAAGCTATTTATCAGAAAGCATTCTTTTTCATACTGCACACATTTTTTCTTGTGGGCCATATCAACTTTATCTAACTTTAATCATACTCTATCACTAGCAACATCTCCGCCTTGGCGATTCAGTGGTGATGGCATGTTGTCTTTCAACCCTTTGCTGCGGCCCATTCAACTGCCGTGGTTCAACGCACTCTCCATTCGAACGAGGCAACATGACGCCTTTCTGATGTCCGTGCAAGTCGGCCAAAACAGCAGTGTCTTTATTAGTGTGAGTATTTTTAAGTTATTGCTATTAAACTTTATTAAAAAAAAAACAAGATAAACATGTCCAAAAATCTTATTACGACATAACACATAACAATTCTTGTAAAAATTAATGTAATTTGATCTTTTCTTTCATCGTTTACTTAAATTAATCAAAAACAAGTTTTTGAACCTCAAAAATATCGATTACACATTTTGATTCTTTAACATTAATTCAACATTTTGTTCATGTTTGCAATTAACTTTTTAACATTCAGTAAACGCATTATTGATATTAGCGATAATCATATAAACTATCTTTCTATAGTTGAAATCTGGGCTTCTTCACTACTCCTACAACGGAGAATCGATGTTCCTCCCGTCGACAAATCTAGCAGATGGAAACTGGCATCGAATCGAGATCAAGTGGTTAGGAACTGACATATCGGTCGGAATCGATTACGGACTGCGCAACGCTCTGTTGCCGATGCTAGCAAACAAGATACAGGGACAGTATATTGGAAAGATTCTTATCGGTGGGCCTGATAGTACTGCCGGTTTACTGGCGTCTGAAGTGGGATATTTCGAAGGATGCATACAGGTTGGTTTTCATAATATTTTACATGGATAAAGTATAATATATGCACGAAAATATTCAAAATATTGTAAATAAATATGCTTTACTTCTGTAAGTCATAATAGAATAATATATGATTTTAAAGTAGAAACTAGCAGTGCAATATAGTAACTCCGGTGGGTGACGTTTGACTTTGCTGTAATTATATTGGGTAAATGCAACGGTATCAATTATAAATCAATCTTATATATATAATATGTCTTGTTACAAAATTAACCATACATACGTACAAAAGATTCTCATTAGTATAACGCAATCACATTTCTGATCTATTTTTGTATGATTTTTACAGACTTTTAAAAGCCAAAGCTTGATAAAGTACGAAGTTTCACTGTGATTTTAAATATACTCCTGCAATAGCCCTTTATATGGTTTTGTTATCAGGACGTCCGTGTGGGATCAGCACAGTCTCTCCTCAACCGACCAACAGTAAGGGAGAATGTAAGAGATGGGTGTCAATCTAAGGCAGATTGCATGCTCTCTATCTGTCCACCTTATGTAAGTACTTTCCAAATTTCCTTTTTCATCAGCACAAAAAATATAACTGTTGGACATGAACTCTTTTGATATAGGAAGCATTTTGTTTAATCTTTATGTTTAGCAGACGGATTGTAGCAAATATCTCATTGAAGTTGCTGTTCCCCGTTGCCGATCTAAGTTTTTATATCTGAAGGGAAGAAATAAAATTGTTTTTTTAACTAGTTATTAAATTTCATATTCATACGTCTTAAGATCTTTCTGGCATTTCAAGATTAAAAATATAATTTTTACAAGTTATTTCTGAGTCGCTTTCCTGTTGAAAATTAAACGAAATAATACATACAAGGTGCTTTCAATGCTGTTCTCGGTATTAGGATGATTTGCTAATTATGTGGGTAGTTAAAAAATTCATTAGTTAACGACACTACCGGAGGGTTTAAATGTGAAATTTCGTCTTAATAACTTCTTTACTTCTTATGTAACCTTCAGTCAAAGACGAAGGCATAAAAAGGGATCAGAACCCCCAAGAAGTTCAAAGTCACTCCATCGGCAGGTAAAATCATGGCCACTGTGTTTTGGGATTTCGAAGGATTAATTTTGATCGAGTACACAAAAAACGGTGAAACCGTTTGAGAGAAGCAATAAAAGAAAAGAGAGGAGGAAAGCTGACCAAGGGAGTGCTGTTTCTATATGTCAACGTACTGGTTCACTTGGCGAGGCTCTCCAATGCTGCTGTAAGAGACTGCAGGCTTGAGGAAATTATCCACCCACTATACAATCCAGATCTAGCCCCTAGTGACTACTTTCTATTCCCAAATTTAAAAAAAAGACCATCAGTTAAAGCGATTTGCTGACGATAATGAGCTCAAGTCCGCTGTAAATGAACATTTTTCAGGCCAAGACGAAAAACATTTTTTCAATGAAATAGAAATGCTTTTTTCACGGATTATTAAACTATTGATGTCATGGGTGACTTTGTTTAAAAATAATAAATATTTCATAATTTTATCTTTAATCTAACGTACCCATACCGAGATACATTGAACGCCTCTCATAATCTTGCCTCTTGAGATAACGACAATGGCTTACGATTAACCGACTGATATGCAGTTTTAGAGATAAGGGTACAGTGGACTCGTCCAGACCCGATGAGCTCCTCTGAGTTACTCTAATCGGTAAATCACGTGTTAATTTATAGCTTTTTTATATTATAATAAAAAAGAACTTGCGGTACACTGGAGAAGGGGGTCACTGTAGCAAAGCACACAGAGAAGTTCGCATATGCAAAATGGAGACAAAGATGGAAACCTCATGGTCTACTCTCAGTCATACTGGTTCTCAATGCCCTGATTCTATAAACTGATTCACAGCAATAGGTGCTGTGAATCAGTTAATGTTAATCAATGGGGTAAAGTGTAAGGCGACAACACCAATACCATTGAGTACGGTGTTCAGCAATTACTCAGTCTATGAAGCGGATACTATACAAGTGCGATATTTAGTACAAACGTGTAATTGTTTTCATAAATGAATTTGCACAAATAAACAATAATACAGAGAAATACTGAAATGATTTGATAGTATTAAAATATTAATAGTAAAAAAAGCGTTTCACGGTATTTTAATGCCTATTGTTTTAGGTCCTGGACGTTTGTTCATGTGGAATAATTCAGGCAAATAAAATATTACAAGGAAAAATCATAAGGTTCGGTTTTTTAAAATAAAAATCAGTCTTAACAATAAATTTATTATTGTACAGAGCAAGTGCAAGTCTCAATGGGACAGTACGGAGTGTGTATGCGAGCGCGGACGTATTGGACCGCACTGCACCGCCGCGTGTGACTTGCGTCCTTGCGGCCCGCACGCGGTCTGCGTGCCCGACGACACGCGCAAGGGCTATAGCTGCAAATGTGAGCAGGGCTACACTATGACCGGTAAGTTTCACTCATACCATGTTTTTATGGGCGTAAAGCTGGCAAACGAGTATGTTTTAGTGTGTGTGTCGACTGTATAGTATACCTGATGGTAAGTAAATATAAGGCTCATAGACTTCAAATCTATCCTCGATTAAGAATCAAAATACACAACTTTCACACAAAGCAACGTTATGACGATATATACCCGATATAAAACACCTAGATTAACGATGGAAATCTGTCTGATAGTTGCGGATTACTTCTGACAAGTATGGCGTTTATCTAATCACCATGGCAATCGAAAAGATCCATGTTTTAATGGAAAGTTATAAGTTGATGATGATTTCGTATGTATTTGCCGCCATCTGCCAAACCTTCTTTACTTCAGTAGTGTGCACCACGTACGATGCGAAATTATCTCATTACAGCCTATATAAGTCCGCAGCTGAACATAGACCTATAAATTGCCTCATATGGTGGGGGGGGGGGGGGGGGGTTATTTAGTCAGAGTTACCGCGCTCGACAGGCGGGTTGGCAACCGACGTTTTTATGATTTTGAGTTGTCAGGAAGATACCACTGCCTATCTCCTGTTTAAATTCCCTCTGTCGCTTCTTACGACACTCACGGGACGATATGGGCTAGTGGATATTCTTCCACCGCCACAACAATCAACCTATAACTTATAAATAAATACTTTGGATAAAATTCCAACGCCCTTATGGACTAATCGACTACCGTAAATTTTAGATAACACGATCAATCCGAGTTCCTAAGAAAAATTATTTAAGTTATTTTAAGGACATGTAAATTCCGCGGCAGACTAACTGCTCCATAACACTATCAGACAATGATGCCTAGCCTAGCTGGACAAATATATAATCCGTAACTGTAAGCTTATATGATGGTGATAGCGGACGGGTGCGAGGAACAGCACGAGGAGGAGTGCCCGGGTGGGTGGTGGGGCGTGACGGCGTGCGGGCCGTGCGACTGCGACATGGCGCGCGGCTTCCACCCGCACTGCGCGCTCCGGGACGGGCGCTGTCGCTGCAAGGTACGCACGCGTGTACACTAGACACGTACACACTCATACATGTTACATACATATACACACGATTGATTTTATTTATAGACTAAGGGTGACAAACAAGCACACAGTCCACCTGATGGTAAGTGGATGCTGTGACGCATAGACATCTATATTTATCCTCGATAAAGAATCAAAACGCAGATGCGTTGTCACCACTGAAGACTAAGATGGAATGCCTCGATTTCAGTAAAAAAGGGTCTCCGGATCCCTACACTCACCATACGAAACACAGCAGTATTAAGCTGCTATTTTACGCTGATATTCTGTGAGAGCGTGGTCTTCCCCGGTCGAACCGACACATTCGTACTACAACCATAATACAGCTGCAGCATAGCTCTACCACGTAAAAACTAGAGCTGCCTCTTACATGTGAATTATGCATTTTAGGAATGAAATTAAGCCACGAGAGCCCTTACGGTGCAGAGAGTGTAGATACCGTATATGTACAAGAGAAAAAAATATTTGTTGTGTTCGATGCACGATAATCCAGAAGAACACACAAGGAATATGATTTTACGTTTATTTCGATGTTATCGTCATAAAATATCAATCCATTATGTATTATAAATAATAAATGGGCAAATATATTTTATCTTTATACGCACGCAACGTAACCCAGGAGAATCACTACAAGCCGCCTGAGTCGGAGGTGTGCCTGCCGTGCCAGTGCTACGCGGCGGGCTCGCTGAACGGCTCGTGCGAGGACCCGAGCGGGCAGTGCCACTGCCGCAGCGGCGTCATCGGCCGCGCCTGCGACTCCTGCTCCAACGTCTACGCAGAGGTCACGCCCAACGCCGGCTGCAAAGGTATGCGCCCAAACATTTTATATCGCGTACACGGCTTCACCTGGGTAGGATGAAGTTTAAATTATCACATACGAATATATGACTTAAAACTAATAAAATGTAATCACTACTAGTTTTTCTGGTAAAAACTCATTTAAAACAATAATATAAATACTAATTCCGGATCTGGAACTGCTCCTTCTGGAGTAAAATAATAAATTTATTCAGGCACCGGCGTAAGAGAAATCACTAATCCAAATCGTCCCGTAGGTATCGTAAGAGCCTATAGAAGGAAACTAAAACATGGGATTGGTAGCAGCAAACAGCAGAGCTTCGTGATAACAACTCAAAATAACATAAAACTGCGCTCTGGTTCTGAGCGTTGCAACTACGGCATATAGCAATAAAGTTTTGAAAGTCTGTAATAAATGATCGCATGAATTAATTAACGAACCGAAACAGCAAACTCATTTTCAGATGGGGGGGGGCGGCGGGGTAGTTGGTGTGTTTTGGGTGGGGTTTTTTGGGTTCGGTTTGGGGGTGGGGGGCGGGGGCTGTTAGGGGGGTTGCTCTTTTCCCTATTTATAAATGTCTTGCACCTTTCACGCTTACTAGCTTTGCACCGCGGTTTGACACCTAGTTCAAGCATTTTAGATAGCTAGATAAGTTAACGGAGTATTTTATTTATCGGTTAAATATCCACTCTTCTCGCTCCTCTCCTCCCGAAGAAGCGTCACACTCCACCCGTAGCGCTCCAGAATGTCCAGAAACGCGGTTTTATCCAGTTTTAAACAAAACCGTACACGATACATAAAAATTTTATTAGTACGAAATGATCCTTGATAAATTTGCTGTCAACCTCTTAAACATACATACAAAGAATTTTTCAAAATGGACTGGTAGTTTCAGATATTAGCGTGTTTGAACAAACAAGAAAACAAAAAAAACTCTTCCGCTTTATTATATTAATAATAATATTTAAAGTGTAGTATAGATTGACTTATCTACGATATAGTTATTTATCAACATTTATCGGAGGCCGCGAGATCACGAAAAATTTTCCTTATTCGAATCTTAAGCAACCCGTGAGGTGTGATGGAGTCATTTTTTAAGCTATATGTGACCGTGTGTGTGTATGCATACCTAGCGTTGTCAGGTGTCCAGGTAAAACCGGACACAGTCAGGCTTTTTGGTTGAGTGTCCGGTTAAATTAGACGGAGTCCGGCCTGTCTGACTTTTGTTAGGCTTTTTAAATTTGACCATTTTTTACATATACATACATACACACATACTATTACAGTTCTTGAAATTAATATTGTAATGAATATTGAATAATGAATAGTAAAGACTTATTTTCTCAAGGTTATTGTCATTTCATTAAAATTTAAGAACATTTTATAGTAAAAGATAGCAAGCATTGTTTTACTTAAAAAATTGACATGTTATATACTATGACTAATAAATATAAAGGCTGTCTGGCCTTTTTACCAAAAATGTCCATCTAAGCTCAAGCTTGTCTGTCCGGCTTTTCAGTTTTAAGACCTGGCAACCTTATACATACCCATAAATTCGATATTTTGCCATACAGGTAACACTAGATAATTTTAATATTAAAAGAAAATAAATACTTTCAGTTCTTACAAAACTTTTTCTAGCCCAGATTAACTTACCTATATTGTATTACGAAATTTCGTAACGAACTCTTATTATTTTAAAGTTTAAGCAATTATTTTTATTTTAGTTATTTATGACGGATGCCCACGATCGTTTTCAAACGGGGTTTGGTGGCCACGGACAAAGTTTGGTGTGGAGGCGGTAACTGATTGCCCACCAGGTAAGTTACTAACATGTTACGTTTAAAAATTAATTAATGTTTGTGATTTTGATTTCTTTAAATCATTAATAATAATGTCCTCCAGACCGAATTTCGGCTACGGCGGCCTGCCTCAACGGAGGCTAGCCATCGGCGCAGGACAGAATTATAGTGCCCAAGTGTATGCGCAAGCACAGGTGCACTCTCTATTCCCTCACTTTCATAATCCGATGGCACGGCAAACCGACACGACCGGAGAGAGATCAGGCAAAGGACCAACGGCTTTACGTGCTTTCCGAGGCACGGGGGTGAGACACTGCCAACTTCCTGACTCCGGGCAGCTACTGAGAATTTCTTTACAGAAAAACTCAATAATTGATTTTTGGCCCGACCCAGGATTCGAACCCAGGACCTCACGATCAGCAGTCGCACTACTATAACCACTAGACCAACGAGGCAGTCATTACATCAATTAACGATCGGTGTTTTTTATGATTTATACTTGCGATTGTTTACATTTGGTGAAATTTCAACTTCATTTTTGTGATAAGTTTCATGTGAAACAAGCACAAATGTGTATTCGAATAAAAAACGGTGTATCTACCCGATTGCCCCAAAAGGACCCTATTTCTGGGGCAAATGGGTAAATAGACCGAATATTTTTTAAGAGTTACATTTATATCTAATTCTTTAGTAGCCTAGTAGCCTAAACGGCTTGGCGTATTTTAATATATGAGATGTCATTAGATACGTCTTAATTGTCAATTTTTTCTCTGTTCAGTAATTCTTTTTACACATTCAAGTTTTTTTTAAATTACTATTTTAACCTCAAATGTTTAGGTATTATATTTTTAAGTAGTTCGATTGTCGCCGGCACCGGTGAAATTGATAATTGTAAAAAATGCTAATTTACCACTAACTCTGCGGTTAAGGAAAACGTCGTAGGAGTACCTACATGTCTAAAAAATAAAAGTTATTTCAAAGATATGAAGTTTACCAACACGCAGTGGAGCATCTCGGCGGATTATTCTTTAACCCTCTCAAAGACGAGAGCAGACGGAGGACATACATAGGCTATTATTTGACTTTTTTTAATATTATGCATATAAAACAATGAAATTGATTCTCACACGTAATTCCGTAGGTTCTAGCGGCAAGGCGACACGAATCTGCGATGAAATACAAGTGATCCCATGGCAAGAGCCCGACATGTTTAATTGTTCAAGTTCTACATTTTATCAACTCCGAAAGCAGGTATGGCTTTTTTGTATAATCGTTTCTAATACAAAAAATGCACATGGAAAAATAACTAAAGCCATAACAATTATATCTAGGTCACATAAACAGTTTTCTTCGTGTAGGATTCAAACCTGTGGCCCACAGCACCGTTATTCATAGTAATATTCAATATTACTATAAATAACTCCCTTAAAGTCTGGGTAAAGACAATTTTTTATTTATATACGTTTTTATAGGATAAGAGTGACAAACGAGCACACAGTCCACCTGATGTTAAGTGGATGCTGTGACCCATAGACATCCACGTCTATCCTCGATTAAGAATTAAAATGTAAATGACTAACTAAAATACTAAGATAGAATGCCTCGTTTCCAGTAAAAAACATATCCGGTTCTCTACACTCACCATACGAAACACAGCAACATTGAGCTGCTATTTTACGCTGGTATTCTGTGATTCGGTCCTGTCCCGGTCGAGCTGACTCATTCGTGCTACAACAGTAATATAGCTGCAGCGTGGCTCTACCACGTTAAACGTACGCAACAAATACGAGCTATTCGCGCTGCCGCAAATTACTAGATGTTAGGACTTCTTTCTCTCTAGGAGCCCGCCTACTACCGTTTACCGCCCTATTACCTTTTTTAGCTACCAAATAGCAATGCTTGTACAGTCAGTTTCACGAAAGAAGTCCCCTAGCCGTCCACCACAGTCTTTGCAAAGTTCGACATCTGGTGGTCAAATTTTAGTTCGCATATTTTCCGCGGGACTTCTTTCGTGAAACGGACTGTACTGTTCTGTTCGGTCCTGAAGATTATAGAGAGCCAATTACAAGCTGTGAGGCATTCTACCTTAGTCGTCGGAGGTGACAACGTGTCCGTAGCTTTCTGTGTTTGAAGTTGATTGCATGTGTCCGTGGGCTACAGTAGTCAGTTATCATCAATCAGGAGGACTGTGAATTCGTTTTTCACTTCAGTTTCATAAAAAAATACAATATCATACTACAGCATGTTAAAAACGGTGATTGCCAGTCAGCTTCTTTTATAGACTTCTGTGTGAGGAAATATTCAATTCGACTGTATTTTTCTTAAGTGTGTTACCTCATAACGTTTTCTGCGTGAACCGATTTCGATGATTCTTTTTTTTTTTCTAAAAGCTTCTCGTGGTCTCGTATAGGTCCACTATATAAATTTAATCAAAATCTGACTAGTAGTTTTTGAATTATTTTTAATAATACGTATTTGTTTGACTTCGAATATATTGATTCGGTCGTATTGAAGTCGGTTGTACATTTTTTTTTTAATTTTACCAGTTGTCTGATAGTAATTTCATTTTGAAATTCCTTATACTTACAGCTACATAAAATAGAAACTGGAGAATTGACGGTAAACACGTTCGTGGGAGTTCGGCTTGCGGACGACTTGGCAATGGCATGTATGAAAACAGCGCGACTCTATGGCGCGGATGTTCTCGTAGCCGAGGGTATCCTACTCGAACTGCTACAGTACGAGCTACACCAAGCTGGACTCAACCTCACACACAGTCAGGACAAGGACTACGTCCGAGTGAGTATACATTGCGATTCGTTGTAGACAGGACTCTCACGCAGAAAGGACAACAAACAACATAACAAATTTTGATTTCGGTTAACAAATACATATTCAAATTAAAATAACTTGAATTTCAAAAAACTTTTTTGTTTTTTCACCACGTTTTCATATTCTCACATTGTTATCCGATTCTGAGGTATGATCAAAACTACAAATCTCTAGGTTATAAATAAGTTAGTTTATAGACATACACGAAAGTAATTTAGGTATAATAAAAACGGTTATAATAAAAAAAGTTTTTTATACAATAAGGGTGACAAACAAGCACACAGTCCACCTGATGGTAAGTGGATGCTGCGGCCCATAGACATCTATATTTAACCTCGACTAAGAATCAAAATACGCATTCGTAGTTATCCCTGAGGACTAACATGGAATGCCTCGAATTCAATGAAACGGGTCTCCGATTCTCTACACTCACTATACGAAGCACAGCAGCATCAAGCTGCTATTTTACGCTGGTATTCTGTGAGAGTGTGATCTTCACCAGTCGAGCCGACCCTTTCGTGCTACAACCATAATATAGCTGCAGCGTTCCTCTACCACATATAAAAATACGTGTGGCACTCGGTGACTGCTGCGGTAAAGCTATTGCATAGCATTTTTTATCAACTTACGCAATTATAATTATTTATTTATTTTTTATTATGCAGTTAAGTCTTTGATATTAAATCAAGTGTGTGGTGACCGATAAGAAAACAATTTTTTTTCTCTTATTGTATAAATGACAAGTTAATATTGTTTAAAATATTAATATTGTTTAAAATATATTTAATATCTTACAATACATGTAGGTTATTCAGGAATTTTTATCATTGAGTTAGCAGCTAGTGTACACGCATACGTCTAGTCGCACGCACACAAACACCGTGCCGAAGTCTGCCGAGGACTGAAACGACGTTAGACGATGCACGGCTTTCAACGCCACACCTCCGTGCCCGTCGGAGTGGGGAGCGTGAGGTTTTTTTTTCGTTACGGAATTTCTAGATTCGGTCCCCGCGCTCAAGGCCTGCGATAGAAGCTATGCAATAGCTTAAAATATCTTAATATAATAATAACATATTATAATCATAATATTAAAAAAATCTTCTTAACTTTCTGCCAACAGAATACAATAAAATCAGCAAACACAATTCTGAACATCGAGTACGACAAAGAATGGCAACGTATAAGAAAACTAACCGGACACGGCGTAGAACGCTTGCTGCAGATATTCGACAAGTACATATCAGTATTGGCCGAAAGCCAGCACGATACGTACACCAGCCCCTTTGAAATTGTTACTAGTGATTTAGGTATGTTAATATGTTTAAAAGCGAAACAAACGAACTATGTTCATGACATTTAAAATAAAAAGTTTGTTAACACTTTGTAAGCCATTTTCAAATGTTACAGTTATTGGAGTGGACATAGTGACCGCTGAATCGATATACGGCTTCGAACCGACGCAACTCAACCGCTACAATACTGAATCGTTCACAACTGAACGTGTGGTACTACCGGATACTTCCTCCTTTATACACTCTCCCATACAGCCTGGTTACTACGGAAACGGCAAAGCAAAAACAAAGAAACTGTCGAGTCCCACCGTCTCCTTTCCTAAATACAATAACTACGTCAGAAATAAAAACAAATTCGATAAGTATTCGAGAATTCTTCTGCCACTGGATTTACTTGGTATAAATAGTAATACAGAAGGTGAGTAGTAATATGTATTGAGGTAAAACCAGATCTAAAGTCATTTCATCATTATCTCTTATATATAAAAATAAAATGCTGTCCGTTGGTCCTAGGGTTGCCACCCGTACTATATAATAATAATAATATCCTTCAGACCGAATTTCGGCCACGGCTGCCTGCCTCAACGGAGGCTAGCCATCGGCGTAGGACAGGATTATAGTGCCCAAGTGTATGCGCAAGCACAGTTGCACTCTCTATTCCCTCACCCTCATAATCCGATGGAACCGTAAACCGACACGACTGGAGAGAGATCAGGCGCAGGACCAACGGCTTTACGTGCTTTCCGAGACACGGTGATGACCATCGCCGCTTCCTGACTCCGGGCAGCTTACTGAGAATTTCTTGATGTCGGGCCTAAACTCAATAACAGAAAGCCCGACTCGGGTATTCGAACCCAGGACCTCATGATCAGCACTCGCACTCCCACTATACCAACGAGGCGGTCGAACCCGTACTATAATATATAGTATCGTACTATATTTTAGTTAATTGTACTATGTATTATAGAAAAATAATATATTATGAAAAATACTATATTTTTATCCCTAATTTAACTGTCGCGCTTTTTTATATTAACTGTCATTGGAAGTCTAGAACAAGTAAGTATAACGGAAAGAATTTTTATGGTCTTGAATGGAAAATGAAAGAAGAAATAGAGCATATATTACTTAATTTTATTAGAAACTAATTGTTAATTTATTTTATTATGACTAAATTGCTCAGAGTCCTATAATTATTTTAAGGGTGATAGATAATTGACAACTAAACTAAAATTAGATAATTAACACTAAAATTCAAAAGTAAATGTGTACTTCTTTTCTCCTGAATTTCTCAAAAGGTTATTTTTGCATCTTTTTTAGGAAAAATATTATATTTGTTCAAAAAAGGGTGGCAACCCTAGTTAATCCGGCAAAAACTCGAAAACGGATCTATTTTGATGAATTGTGTGTGTGTATTTGAATGGGGTGGATGGTTCAAACTCTGTTGGACCCGGCAGGTGGCGCTGTTGTCGAGATTCAGTAATCACGCGTGCGAAGCCGGGGCGGGTCGCTAGTTTTTTTTTTTTAAAATAAAATCGTAGTAACATACGAACTTACATTACATACTAGTAAGTGGCCAAAGCAGTGTTAGTGAAAATTTAATAAATAATTTACAAAGACGTGCTAGTTTGTGTTTAGCAAGAAACGGTAGACGGTAGGTAGGTAATTTTGTAGATATCTATTTATGTAGTTTGTAAATAAGTTGATTTCGATCTTTTAAAAACGCTTAGGATGTTGCAGTATACGGTAGGCATAAAATTCGTAGCTTACGCCGCGCCGTTTAAAATTATTTTTTATGCAAATGCGGTAGGTTGAATTGTTTTTATATATTATTTGGGATATTCGTAAACTTTTGCCCATCAGTTATATTTTACAAAATACTTTTGAGAATAACTTCTAATCACTTCTATTTCACTAACACAAAATATTTTTAACACCATTTTATTTTCTAAACTTACAAATTTTATGGTGCAAATAGTCATTTTGTATTTATGAACCCTGAAACCATTCCGTTATCATATTTCCTAGAATTCCTAAAGGATTCATAATATTGAGAACGAATATAGATTTTCGCGTGCGTACACTATATACGAGATGCTATTATTTTATAACCTACTCGATTGAAATAATCATAGAATACTATAATACATACATAAGAAATAATCTTTAATCCCGGATACAAGAATAACGTTGGGCCTACAGTGCATTTGTATTTTTTTACAGAAAACATGGTTGCATCGTACGAATCGCGCGCTGTGTTCTCTTACCTTCAATATTCACGAAATACCTCACAGCTAATGCCTCTGCGCATGGACGACTCGGTTAGCCGACGATGGGGAGTAAACATAACCGTAGGCTCACCGATACTACAGCTGGCCCTGTTTGTGCCAGAGTTTGTGTGGAAAAAGGAAGCGAGTGACAATGAAAGCTTGGATGGTACGGAAGATATGATAGGTAAAAATCATGTTTATTCTAGTATTTGTCTAATCTGATATAGAATAGTAGTTAAACAAAGAAATTTAAACTTTTTTTATTAATTTATTGTAACGGAACCAACAGCATTTTGTAACACTATAAAGTTAGTAAGTATTTACATTTTCTACTGCCAATTACAGGTTCTTACTTTATATAAAAACAAATCTTCTAACGTATCGCTACAACTGTGTGGAAATAATATTATACAGGGTTATTTTTAAAGAGTAGTCATTACGCCATTACGCATTTTACAAATACAGTGCATGTAATATGTACATCTACTAGTGTTTTGTTTTGTAAATACTTGTGTGTATGTGTGTTTGTGTGTGTGTGTGTGTGTGTGTGTGCGTGCGTGCGTGCGTGCGTGCGTGCGTGCGTGCGTGCGTGCGTGTGTGCGTGCGTGCGTGTGTGTGTGTGTGTGTGTGTGTGTGTGTGTGTGTGAAAGAGGTGTGGCATGTTTTTACGTGTTTTTTTTTAATTTATATTACTTGTTATTTCTTAAAATTGAGAAATAAACTTGATTAAACATAAATTTTATATTTGTAAAAACGTGTATTATATACTCAACCACTTTATATGATAATCCCTTCAAAAGTCTGTTGAACGAAAATCCTAAACAAAAAATCAAATCTTAAAGAAAAATGTTGTAACTGTTTTCATGTAAATAAATGAAAATATGAAATATTTTCAGGTGTCGTCTACGCTAATAAGGGCCTTAATCATCAAGCCCACACAAATCATATCGGTTCAAACACTCACTCCAGGAATCCCTGGCCTAATTCAAATGACGATGAAAACTTGAACAATGAAAATCATGGACCCGTTGTTATACAACCAGCTTTTAAAAAACAAGACAAAGTTAGCGATACTGAGAATTTACAAGAAAATAATTCCATGTATGGTGCCGAAAAAGTTGACAATATCGATAACCTAAAAGTAATGGCTCTGGTAATGGAATCAAATGACATAAACAAAGACAGTTCTAATTCGAGCAAAGAGATCAATACAAAAAAGCTGATATACAAAAGTTTAAGTGGTATAAGGCTGAAGAAACCAATACGCTTGCAATTATGGTTAGACATAGACAGAGAAACATTTGGAACACGAACTAATCCACAATGCGTTCATTGGTCTACGTTAAGAGGGTAAAGAAATCACTTCATTATCTTTATTCGTGGAAAATCTTATTTATCTGTAATATTTTTGACAATTTCTTTAAACTTTTTAACACGATTTTTTTTTAGATCTGGAGAATGGTCCCGAGTAGGCTGTCACACAGAAATAGACTATGACTGGTCTCCGTACTCCGACGAACCTTTGCTCATAAATTGTACGTGTAATCATCTATCAACGTTTGCTGTGTTGGTTGACGAAGTTGATATTGAGGTTTGTTAATAATCAAAGTAGTCCTAGACTAAATTTGTAAGTTGAGATATCAAAGATAAAATTTCCAAAAAATATCATAATATATTAGTTTAAGACATGAATTGTTTAATTTATTCCACTTGATGTTGTTGAGCTTGTTGCCTTAGCCAGTATCGGAATCCTCGGCGTCGACATATCGAGTGACGTGCAGTTTCGTGTTCACTTGGAAGAGAAGGCCAAATTGGCCTCTAAAAAGCTTGGCGTGCTTAGCAGAGCGGGACAGTATTTCATGCTGGTACACCGCCTGCAACTTCACAAGGCGCAGGTTCGGCCTCACATGGATTACTGTTCCCATCTCTGGGCTGGAGCTCCCCAGTACCAGCTCCTTCCACTTGACCGCATCCAGCGCAGAGCGGCTCGAATCGTCGACGGCCGAGTGCTTTCCGATCGGCTCGATTCACTGGCGTTGCGAAGAGATGTTGCATCTCTTTGCATTTTCTTTCGCATATACCATGGGGAGTGCTCTGAGGAATTGTTCGGATTAATCCCAACCCCCAAATTTCGTGAACGCACTACGCGGCAAACGTCTCGATACCATCCACACCATCTGGATGCTTGGCAGTCCACCACTGTACGTTTCACTAGGAGTTTTCTTACACGTACGACCTCTGTGGAATAATTTACCACCGGCGATTTTTCCAGCCGGATACGACCTAGGGACCATCAAGAAAAGAGCTTACTCCTTACTAAAGGGCCGGCAATGCACCTGCAATTTCCCTGGTGTTGCGGTTGGTCATGGGCTGAGGTAGTCACTTAACATCAGGTGAACCGTATGCTCGTTTGCCCCATCTTCTATTTAAAAAATAACTTGACATGACTAAATTCCTCTTTCTCCATTCCACCGGCGTGCAACCAGACGCTCGACGGCTCTTCACTTCTTTGTTATTAATATTCCACGCGTTGGAACTAATTGTTTTGAGACTAGTGACAAATACACAGTCCACCCGATGGTTAGAGGCTACTGAAGTCTATGAGCACCTGCAAACATCTTAAAGCAAAGAAGGCTATAGATACGATGTCACCCCTGATGAATAACATAGGATGCTTCGAAGCCTGTAGTTATACTGGCTCTTTATACCCTTCTTATTGGGACACAGCAGTGCATGGCATTTGTTGGCAGAAATTAGTTGGAGAGTGGTACCTTCACAAAAGAGATTCCTAGGCAGAATTTATAAGTATATTATGTAATAATATAGATCATTTAGTAATGCGTGCAACAAATGAGTGAAATACTTTGTCAGCATCTGTGATTCCCATCCATTTATTTTATAGAATAAGGGTGACATACGAGCACCCAGTCCACCAGATGGTAAGTGGATGCTGTGGCCCATAAACATCTAGACCTATTCTAGATTAAGAATTGAACTGCAGATGCATTGCAACCCATGAGGACTAAGATGGAATGCCTCGTTTCCGTAGTAAAAAGGGTCTCCGGTTCTCTACACTCACCATACGAAACACAGCGACATTGACCTGCTGTTTTACGCTAGTTATTTAAACCGTATTGGTATTATGTGAGAGCGTGGTCCTTCCCCAGTCGAGCCGCCCGTTCTACGACCATAATATAGCTGCTGTATGGCTCTAACACGTATTAAGACGTTGCAACGTGTGTGTGTCTTCACCTTTTATTAAACTTAGGCAACTTGATTTATCACCTATGGCTACTTTACTATTTGGCTTATTGTAATATTTGTCAATCTTTACTCTTTAGTACCCAAGTATTAACTTTATTTGCTTTCCATCCACAGTTCATACCAGAGCCATCTCTCCTTGAATCAGTTACGTCATATACAGCATTTAGTATCTCTCTCCCACTCTTGTTTACTACATGGGCTGCTCTCTGTCTCATGCGAGGTGGTGCAGCTACCGTCTCCAACTCCATACACAAGCACCTTATCTTTTGCGTCTTTATGGCTGAACTTCTCTACTTAATTGCGTTGAAAGCAAGAAATTCTTTGGTACAAAATGAGGTAAGTCAAATACTTTTTACAGATTTAACATGTATATATTTTTTAATTTCAATTGTTTATTCAATGTCGCCAATAATTAGAGATGGGCCGAATGTTCGTTTCATATTAGGTATTCGGCATATTCGGTAGCTTTACCGAATATTCTTATTCGGCCGAATATTCGACTAAATCACCGAACATTCGTTAAAGTGGTACTCAAGGTGTCCACTGTATTGAAATGTAGGAATTGAGTAACGCTATGTCTTTCATAATTTTACTATTGGAAGTATATTTTATTAATGGATTGAATCTACTTGTATAGCGTTATATTTATGAGGCACTGTAGATTTATTAAATAGAAAGTTTGATAAAATATTTTTGGAATCAAACAATGAAAGAGAACATTTAACTTTACTTTGGTCGTCAATTTTTCTAAAGTCCAAATAGTAGATCTCCTGCCTCTCATTTTAATATATAATTATCAATTTTCACTAAGAATAACACAACGAAATAAGTTTTTCCTCACAAAAATAGTCAAAACATGTTCCGGCAATTTGCTCAGTACTAGATGATGCAATAACATAACTGTCAGGTGTTGCAGGGGTGCGAGGGGCAGGGTCCGATACTAATCCCGCGCAATTTACGGTGATAAGTTTCGACATAAATTAGTTAGGTACTGAGGTGATCCTGCCGCATAATGTTCGGCCAAATATTCGGTAAAAGTTTTACCGAACTTTCCGCCGAATATTAGTATTCGACGAAATCCAAATTCAGCCCATCTCTACAAATAATATGACCTCAAAACCTTTAAAATATTATAGCTCTATAAAACAAAACATCTTAAAACTCTTATAATCAATTTTCCACTTTATTTCTACACAATATAGGTGCCTAATTAAAAGTCATTACACTACTCTACAGCGATTTCTCAATATGCAGATGATGAGAACATGTTTTGACTAAGGAAAACCATCACTAAACAAGTGGTAAACCAACATAAAACAAAACTCGAAAAAACCGATAAATGTACACTTGTTCGTCTAAACTCTAAACTTAAAGTCTAGGACATTACTCATCAATATAAATCTCATTATCTCCTCACTATTGATATTTTGATAATGTTTTGTTTTATATGGAAATCATCACCTTAAAATTATTAGTAAAATGAGTTTCTAATTATTGGCCTAAACTAAAAATTAACTTCTTTGTTTTTTTAATAAGAATAAAAAATGAAGTGGGAAGAGAATCCACTCTTACGCCAACAACCGACTTATTACTTGCTAAGAATAAAAGAAATTGCCGTAAGTTTTTCATGTCCATGGTTATGGTGATATTTGCTTTGCAACTGGGGTAATTAGGTTATATGAAGTTTTATCATAGAATACTATAAAACACACATAATAGAACGGGGGAGTGGGCGGAGCCCGTGTAGCCACTAAAATGTCACTAACACGTCAATTCACACGTATAAATGTCAACACGAGATGTGTTTTGACGTTAAAATCGTTTCTAAATTTCCCATGCAAATTATTTAGAAAATGCCAAATTGCACGCTATTTACAAATAAATATGTATTAAAATCTGTCTGTCAACACAGCGAATCGG